GGAGCGAAAAATATTCTTTAGCATTGTCACTACGTAAAATTTTGACAGGAACATTAAATTGAGTCTTAATTTCAACGCAGAATCCACAAAACACCTCAAAAAGTTCAGAACGAGACTTCAGTAGGTATAACCATGTGATTCGAGAAAAATCATCAACAAACGTAACAAAATATTTAAAACCGAGTTTAGAGGTCACAGAACACGGACCCCAAATATCAGAATGCACTAACTCAAACGGAAAAGACGCTCGTTTGTAAACCCTAGGACTCAAAGGCACACGATGGTGCTTGGACAACTGACACGACTCACAATGTAAAGAAGACAAACTTGAAAATTGCGGACACAATTTCTTCAACAAGGGTAGGGAAGGATGCCCCAGACGACAATGAGCTTCTATTGGAGTGACAACACCCGAACAAGCAACCGGCTCCCGCTTCGTGGCGTCAAGAACGTAGAGGCCCCCAGACTCGCGCCCCTTACCAATAACCCTCTTCGTCAAAAGATCCTGAAACAGACAATAATCAGGGAAGAACGTAACAGAACAGTTTAAAGTACGGGTAAGTTGGCTGACCGAAATTAAGTTGAATGAAAAATTAGGTAGATGCAAGACAGAAGACAAGGGGATCGAAGGGATGGGCGTAATGGAACCGGACCCAAGAACATGAGAGGCAGAACCATCTGCTAAGGTAACGGGGGAACTATGTGGGCGAGAAGAAAGCGTGGAAAACAAACTAGAGTTACCTGTCATATGATCCGTGGCACCCGAGTCTATGACCCACTTGGAGGAGGATGAGAGAAGGCACGTAGTTGCATTACCTGAGTCAGCAATAGCAGTGACTTGAAGAGGATGAACGCTTTAAAGATTCTTGATACTGAGAGAACTTGGCAAACTCGTCGGCAGATACAGTGATCAACTTGGAAGATGCCTCAGGTGTGGATGCAGCATTAGCAGTCGGATTTCCTCGCTCCCTCAACCATCTCCTACAGTCCCGTTTTATGTGGCCAGGCTTATGGCAATAGTGACACACAATACCACCAGAAGTGTATCCCAGGGAATTTTTTCCATTCCCACTGCGAGGATGACGGGCCAACGAGAGCATTGTTGGATGGGATGGTAGCCTCAGGCACACTTGGTTGCGATTGCACCGACCGACTCAGACGTGGAAAAACATTAGCAAGAGAAGGGATGGCAGAGCTACTAAGAATTGCAGATCTCGCCGTGTCAAACTCAGAAGGGAGACCTGCCAAAAAACTCAGAACAGCCAATTGTTCACGTTGGTTTTGCTGCTCTTTAATGTCAGCGGTGAATGGCATAAGCTGATTAAGTGCCTCATAAGTCTTCTTAAATTCCATAAAGTATGTAGGGAGAGACAAATCATGTTTTTCAGCACGGAAAAAGGACTTACAAACATCATAAACACGAGTAATATTCCCTTTCCCAGCGTATAAGTATTCCAAATACTCCATCAACTCTTTAACAGAGGCACAATGACTAATGAACCCAACAATACCCTCATCAATGGAATTACGAATTTGTAGGAACAAACGGGCATCATCCCGTACCCAAGTAGAATCTTGGTCAGCCAAAGGTTTAGACAAGTGGTCACTTTTATCCAAACTAGTAAGATAAAGCTTAATGACGTGAATCCATTCTAAGTAATTAGAGTCATTAAGCTTACAATTCGTGATTTTAGAATTAACAGGAACTATATCAGTGACAACCACAGACGTATTCCCAGCCATATCCACAAATTTAGGACCACAAACAGAGCAGAAAACACAAAAAAAAAACGGAGCCGAATGGTAACGAAACAACCTGACTGTAGAATCGAAAAGACCGACGCAAAACTGGTCCAAACTGAGCCCGGAACCGAGATCCCCGAACTCAGGCGACCCTGGAAAGACCGGCCGAAAAAATTTCCGGTCGCCGGAGAGCCCTCACGCGCCGGCGCGTGGCGGCGGCTGTCAGTGGCGCGTGAGGGTCACGCGCAGGTCGTCTTGGCCTGAAAATTTCCAGGCAAGGTCGCCGAACGATGGCGAGTGGCGGTGAGAACAGGAGACGCCGGAAATTTTTTTTTTTTTTTATTGCCCTGGCTCTGTTACCATGTTAAAGCAGTGAGTTACCTCTGTAGCTCTCTCTTATTCTGTGTGTCTATAGAGCTAGTCAACTACTCCTTAAATATAAGAAGAGTCTGAACTGATATGGTAAGCAAATATTTAGATCCCTAAAATATGGGATAGTCAATCACAGAGAATATTCTCCCAATATTCTATAACAGTCTCCAATCAAACTAGGCCATAGAAATCGGAAAGAGGGCGTTCAATGTGACATGACCATCTTTCTGCATACTGCTTCTATTTTAGTTGCATGGCATATTCTTGCAACTTTTCTCATTTACGGTTTTTTTTTCATCAATGCTTTTTTGAATAGTTCGATCATTTATATGTGAACTTCTTGCAGGTCATTACCAATCTAACCTCTGTCCAATCACATTTAGATTTTTTCTCCAAGGAATGCGACCACAAGGTTCTGGTAAGATTTTGCTTTTTGTAAACTTTGGGTAAACACAGTAAAACTATTGATTTTCTTACTCAAGGAATGACCTGAATTTGCTTCAGGAATTGGAGGAAGCTGAGATTGAAATGGAACTTCTTCAAAAAGAAAAAGCTCTGCAGGAGTTGTCCAATGATTTCAAAGATCGGCATCAACTTCCATTGTTATCTGGTGATATTCTGTTCTCTACTTTATTCAAAATCATTACCTAGTATTGAGGATAATAGTTTATGTTCTTAGTTGAGGTATAATGGGTACTTGTTAGCATGCAAAGGAATCCGAAGATACAATCCCAGAATGCCGCACAGCAATGTTCTGTTGTTTAAGTGAATTGCCGTTATCTATTATACTGATATATGTTTCTTCGATTTTCTAATGCAGGGTATGCAAAGAATGATGACCGTTTGCAGCAAATCAGAGATGGAATAAAATCGATGTATGAATGTACCGATTTTATCTGCGTAAATATTTGGTGTTTTTTTTTTCTGGTCAAATTTTTATCTCATCTATTTGCATGATCTTTTTTTAATCAGGGAGAAGGCCCGACTCAGAGAACAGATTGTGGCACGCAGGCAAAAGAAGCTACTCACGAGGCGTGCCCGCCAAACATACTTGGAAGAGGCAGCTATACGAGAAGCACAACTTGTACAAGAACTCGATAGGTTTTGCCTCTTATTCCTAACTCGCTGTCTACTTAATTTTCGAGAATGTTAATTGAAATTTGTTATCATGTTGGATTTTTAAATGGGTAAGAGAGAGAACTGCTGAAGTAGAAAGAGAGATCGAGAGACAGCGGTTGCTAGAACTCGAGCGTGCTAAAACCCGGGAATTGAGACACAACCTTGACTTGGAGAAAGAAAGGCAAACACAGGTAATATGGATCCTCCTAGATTCATGCTTAGTTGTCCCGAGATAACTGTAGCTCATTTGATGGGATTTACCCTGAAATCCTGGGAACTCGGAATTCCAGATTTTGTGGTGTTTCCCTCTTTACTAAGATCATATTTTGTTCACCCGCAGAGAGAACTCCAGAGGGAACTCGAGCAAGTGGAATCTGGACTGCGGCCATCAAGACGAGAGTTTTCATCCACTCATACTAGGCAAGTGTTTAATCGTTTTAGTGACTTCGTTTTAAAGCTCTCACCATCTTAATTGAGTTGGTAGTTGAGAACTTCGATTCTTAGTTCAGTGTTCTTCCCGCTTACCTTACTTTTCTTTACCAGTTAGACTTTTGCAAGTACCATTCTGACAAGTCTCGTTTTACACAGCAGTAGACCTCGGGAAAGATACCGTGAAAGAGAAAATGGCAGAGCGATAAACGAAGGGACCTTGAAAGCGAGCACTGGCGCTGGACAGCCAGAGACGCTCTCCACGAGTTCCTCCACAGCAGCAGCCATGCCCACAGTCATGTTATCTGGGGCGAGGCAATTCTCGAGCCAGCTCCCGACTATTCTTCAATCCCGTGACAGATCAGATGAAGGTGGCAACATCTATGATGACAACTTCGATGGAAGCAGGGATTCGGGCGACACAGGAAGCATTGGGGATGCTGACATAGCATCATCACTTGACGGGGTGTCTATGAATTTCGGGCCTTCCCAAAAGCACGGATCGAGAGGCGGCGGCAAGTCCAGGCAGATCATGGAACGGAGAGATCGCGATGGCAGACGAGAAGGGAAATGGGAAAGAAAACATTAGCAATCCAGAATGAAAACCTTGAATGTTGTAGAACCATCATTTCACCTTGCTAACTTTAGTATAGTCATATGCATGTCAGATGTATTATGGTCATGTAAGCAGTAGACACTCAGGAAACAGCCATTGACAGGCAAACTGTGATATATTCACAGAAATGTGTTGATGTCTTATGTGACAAAAACCTTTGTGCCATAATCAAATTGTAATGTGATTGGAGTTCAGACTATGATCTTTGTTAAAAGCATAAGTTCTTGTTGGCTTGCAACTTTATACAAAATGATGACTTATTGCCCATGCTATATTATATTCTTAGTTCACTTTCACTGCCTTTTGTGTACTAATTAGAAAATTCCCTATTTTTCTTTGATTTACAGGAAAACCTGCAGCCGTAGCTATTCGAAGATATGCTTTGGTTGAAGTTCGTCTTGTGATCCTAGTTTGCAAAGGACTACAAGGAAGTAAACCAGTTTAGGTTATTCATAACTGATTGGTTCAAACCAGAACATTTTCTATTTTTCTTTGATTTATAGGAAAGCCTGCAGTTGCATCTATTTGAAGTTATGTTTTCGGTGAAATTCATTTTGTGACACTAGCCAGTAAAAGACCACAAAGAGGTAAATCAGTCTAGGCTGTTCATAGCTGACTGGCTCAAACTAAGGAGTCAAAATTGAAACTTTATGGTTATCAAGTCAACTATCTGATCAATTTAGTTGTTGGTAGAGGTTGTCTCTTCTTTAGAGAAACGGAAAATGGAGAATTGAAAACTGTTTTCAGAAAACATTACGCTGGTTCTGTACAAAACATCATTGTTACAGGAGAGTACATGGGAGGTTTCCTTAGTTTCTGGAAACACATGAACATCATATATGCATATTTATAGAGTTATACACTAATGTATATCACCAGGAATGGCGAGTACCTCTCCTGAGCCTTCTGAACGGCCTGCACGCCTCGATACTGAGATCCACAGCTGCAGCGAGCGCCATGAAAATGGCTGCATCCTCGACGCAGGTGACGTGTCGCATGGCAAGTTGCACGAGGAGCTTGCTGTACTTGCCTTCGCCTTGCACTCTACAGCTCATGACGAAGCCGCCCACAACAGGACTCAGCGCAGAAAAGTCACCGCTGCTTCTTGGACTGGGCACGGGACTCGCTGCAGCTCGGACCTGTTTGTCAGTGTCGATGTAGAACTCCCCGCCCTTCTCCGCGCTGATGAGGATCTCCGACATGAGGAGATCCCCGCCCCCCTCTGGACCATCCGACAAGAGGTGGAAGCGGCAGCAGATGGAGTCTCTGATGCCTCGTTCACGCCATGCTTCGAGCTTCCCCCACGGTTGCCAGCTCTCGCGCATGCAAGGATCGGGGCGTACGATCAACCAAGCTCCCGGGTTGGACCTGTCAACCCAATCACAACCGGTCGATGGCACGAATGGCGTAGTGATGAACGCAGCTGCCACAGCCGAGCCAGAGAGGTCATGTATCTTCACCTTCCATCCCTTCCTCTCCCGCCTTTCTATTTCAATATCAGAGCTATCAACAAAACTAGACGAAAAGTTGCTTAGCGGATCCACCTGTTGTACCCTGTAATGCACAATAACTAGCAGCATTTACATAGGATCAAACAAATAAGCATCTGCCAATGACCTTGTGGTCTAGTGGCACGAAGTGACTCTCTCATATGCAAGGTTGAAAAAATCGCTAGGCGCCGGCGCCTAGAGTGCCTAGGCGGGCGCCTAGAGCGATTAATCGGCACCTAGAGCGCCTAGGTGGCCGACCGCCTAGCGCCTAGGCCCGATTTTTGCAACACTGCTCATATGACAGGTCATGGGTTTAAGCCTCAGTGGGGGCAATATTGACTCTTTGTGCTTCAGTAGGTTGAGAAAGTAGTTATGAACAGATACTACATTTGTAACAGAGTCAGTATTGGAATGATAGAAAGCAAATAGGTAATATATTTACCGATCTTGACTAAACTTGCAACTGAAAATAGGCTGCTTGATGTTCCCTTGGAGCTGAACTATTTGGGGGCTTAATTTAGTCTTTTCCTCGAACTGGAAGACGTATCTTGGATCGGGATCGAGCTTCACTCTTAAATGAAGCTCGGCTCCCGGTTTCCCATTCTCCTGCTTGTTCTTGCCGATACCAGTCCAGCCATTGAAAAGAACGGCTGGCTTTCCTTTACCCCACTCGGGGCCTACTTCCAACCGAAACGTACCTACCTGCTGCCTCTTAATAGCAACCCCGCAATGGGTACCTTTGTGCCCCGTAAAAACAGCGACCTCCAAACAAGCATGATTCGTGTAAAAACAGCCGGGCGTGAGCAATGCTTTGAGATCAGATTCCTCGAGATAAAAGCTGGATGCTATAGTGTTAGCGTCCGGGGGGGTAGTTTCCGGGGAGGATACAAAGGGAACAGATGTTGTCTGCACGGGGAAACCTCGAAGGCGGATCTCACACACACAGGGAGACGAGAATGCATGGCTCCCTGATTTCGTACCATTTAAGGCTGTCCCGGGAGTTCTCAATCCCAACGACCCTACTGATAACCTAATGAATGCCTGAGGATCCATTCCGGTCACAAGTACTCCATGAAGTTTGAGGCGATATATATAGAGTTTGGACAAAACACTTTGATGTCGTAAAAGCCCCTTGTTGGTATCAATTCTTAACTCGACATTCTTGCAGAATATCCCTTCAGTTTATATAAACCCGCCCTTGAGTTTCTCACTTCAATACAAAAGTTCAACAGAAAAGCGAAAACGGTTGACTGCTTGCATAGACCTGTTACAACACGAACACTCTCAGGAAACAATCTACCAATCTGATACCATGTTATAAACTAAGATTGGGCTATAATGCAAATGAACCAAACCACACTAAAAGATTGAATCCAACCAATTAGCTAGTCTAACCCATGACCTTATAAACCCATATATTCTCATCAATGTGGACTCTTAACAGAGGTGAACTGAGAATACAGAAAAAGATGCCACGAAGGCTCTAAATCCAGAAATCCCAAAACCAGAAGCAATTAAAAGAAATTACGCGAATAAACATCCCACTCCCGAGTAAACGAACAACTAAAAGATTACGAATGCTGTAGCTTTACAATAAACAACATGAATCTGACAGACTTATCAAGGATCAAGAACATCAAAGCCGGCACCAACATTGTCTGAAACTGAAGACAGAGAACAAAGCATATATCCTGAAAACAATTATAGCATATAACAACATAAGTTCATTTCCTTAAACTTTCTACATTCTTTACATGTAATTGGGGGAATTTATGAAGTACCCTTCATCAACTTGAGGCAATTAGGACCATAAAATCTTTTGATTATCCCTTATTTGCAGCCTAATTATATTCTTGTTGGGCATATAAAGCAAAAAGAAGGGTACTATGGTAGACTCCCCAGCTCAAAAGGGCAAAAAGTTCACAGTGTACTTCATCTTCCCAAACAAAATTAAGCATCCCAACTACTATGTTGATATAATTCCAGTCTGCCCTGCCCTCTATTAAATTCCCACTGAAAATTATCATTTCTCTCACCTAACTGACAAATTATCAACAGTAATAATAAAGTTTTCTTCTTTTTTTTGGGGGTTAAAAAAATTGCCACAAGTTGTGGGTAAAACACTAAAACAGAAAGTCTAGGTTTAATATGCAAAAACAATAACTCAGATGACAACTAAAATCTGGTCTTTTACAAAGAATTAGCAAATAAGCAAAGTCAACACAGAAAAGAGATATGAATAGGAGTGCAGTTCAAGAAAAGGAAAAAAAAAAAAAAAAAAAAAAAAAAAAAAAACAATCCAAGATTTAGCCTTTACCATGAAGCTTTTCTCTTCCTCCAGAGCAAAATCAAACCCAAAGTCACTTTTTGCAGCTTAGACCATCCAAATTTTGCTCCCACAGGCTTAGAAAAAATGCAAAATCTTCATAGCTTTCTCATCCAGACTTCCCAGAGAAAAAGATTGAAACTTTACCAATAATCATCCATGTAACCCCAAAACTGCAAATAGGTCTCTCTCTCTCTCTCTCTTTCTCTCTGTGAATATATATATAGAGAGAGATATATATATATATATATATATAATTGTGTGTGTGTGCGTGCGTGTCAGTAGGGCCAATGTAAATTCTTGAAGAGTGGATTATATAGGAGCAAGGATGATTGAAGCAGCTAAACAAAACCCATACCCCAAGAAAATCATGCAGACTGGATGCATAATCTATATTGGGTTCTGTCCCTGCATATGCCCAGATATAGAGACAGACTGTGTGTATCTAACTCAATGCAAGGTCAAAAGAACGGTTCTTTTTCTTTTTTCTTTTTGTATCAATTTTCTTATACTATCAATTTTAAAGTTAATATTGATTGACATTTTAGAGGATATGACAGTAGTAATAAAACGAGAATAATTGTAGTAAAATTGGAGAAAAAATACTCTGTATTTTTGTATTAAATGTTTTTATCAAAATTTATATTATTAATATTAATGTTATTTGGTGTATAAAAGTAGAGGGTAGAGTGGGTGGGGAAGGAGAAAATGGGAAATTGGAATACAGCTGTATCCAATACAACTTTGTTCTTGATTAGAGAATTGTATGCAGACACGACTTTGTGGTGAGAGTGACATCATTACCTTAACTAAATATTCTTTTCATTAATTTAATTATAAATGTTAATATTGAATTAAATTATAGCATTCAATTTGGAAAAGATCCATTCAATGTGATTACTTCACTTGGAGATATTAAGGTTGTGTTTGTTCAATTCCCCCATTTTTATTTCCCTATTTTTATATTCCTCATTTATTATTTTCAAATTTAAAAAATGTACCATTAAACGCATTTGTTATCTTTTTTTTTTTCCTTTAATTTTTTATTTCTTCAAAAAAATGTATAATTTTTCAAATAGTAAATACGATTTGAAATATGCCAACTTCTTAAATATAATTAGTTTAATTATATATAATTTTTATACTCCGGCATAAATTTAGTCTTGTTTTATTAGTAAAGATGGCATAAATTTAGTCTTAGCTTGTTATATGTATAACTTGTGCACTTTGGTCTTTGGCATTAATTTAATATTGTTTTATTAGCAAAGACTGCACAATGTGTGATTTGTTGTTTTAATGGAAGTATGGAACTTAGTGTGTTAAAAATTGAATCTTTTACATATTTAAGAACTTATAAATTAAATTTATAATGTTAATAAATAAATGACTAAAACTAACTACAATCACAATTTAAAAGACTAAAATTGTAATTTTTTTATATACGAGTTGTTGGGGTAGGGGTGGAATTGTGGTGGGATTATAGAGCCTGACTGGCCCAATAATCCAAATAATAGATTCGAGAGAGAAACAAGTCCAAGAGATTAGTGTTCTAGCATTTCTTAGTGCGTGTAATTAAAAGTTTTGACCAAGAGAGCCACTTGCACTAAATATGCTTGAATGGGTCAACCTACACCAATCTATCTGTCAAAGTAGTTGGCCACAAGGTCTAATGTGCCGCTTGACCATGACACTATACACGCTAACCGATTGTTTGCTTCTACCTATAAATCGAACCCACTTATAGTGAGCCATCATAACACTAGTAAAGCAATCAAATGTAAATAAGATCATATTAGCATGTTAGGATCATTTTTTACTCCATACTGTTAGTGTTATTAATATTTAATAATGTTTTATTGTATGCTTTTGTAATAGTGGTTCTCTTTCCTTTGGTTTAGTCTTACCTAGAGTTTAGGAGACTATAGTGGGAGTCTCTCTATAGATCCCTATCTGATGTAATTCTGTAAGATTAGATTTTGAAATTCAAACTTCCTGATCTCATCTGGTATCAGTTGCGTAAGGTTTCTTACGTTTCCCAAACACCGAACCCCCACCCACCCCGTTTGTTTTTTCTCTTTTTTTTTCCGGCGATGTCATCTAATTCCTCGGAGCGAACAATTACCACCATCGCTCCATCACCGCCGATGACCAACTCTCTAAACTCCGCCCATCATTTCGTTTCAATGAAGCTCACCACCCACAATTTTCTCTTCTGGCGTACCCAGCTCGTGCCATTCCTACGCGGCCAAGGTTTGCTGGGCTACATCGACGGCGAAATTCCTTGCCCGCCAGCGACGATCACCCCTGCCCCGGTGTCCGGCGACTCCACGGCCGTAGCCACCTCCTCCGTGTCGGTCCCTAATCCGGCGTACAGCTCTTGGATTCAGCAATATCAGTCAATTTTGTCACTGATTATCTCCTCCCTCTCCGACGAGGTGATGCACCTCGCCGTCGGCCGGGGCACTGCGAGGGAGGTTTGGCTGTCCATTACGTCGGCGCTGGCCTCTTCCACACGAGCACGCTGTCTCAGTTTGTTAGGGCAGTTTCAAACGCTCAGGCAAGGGAACGGAACACCGGCCGAGTACCTGGGGAAGGCGCAGCTGCTTGTGGAGGCTTTGTCTCTCGCCGGCCGTCCTCTGTCTCTAGATGAGCAGATCCTCTACGTTCTTCGAGGACTGAGACCGGAGTACAGGGCGCTAGCCAGTAGTCTCACCGTGACTGGTACGTCGGTTACACTGCCGCAGTTGGCCGATCTGCTCCAGGCGCAAGAATTCATCATCTCCGATGAATTTCCGGCGGCGGGTCACTCCGAGCTCACTGGTTCCCCGGCGGCTTTTTATGCAGGTCGCGGTCACCAGAACACCGGCAATCAGAACTCCGGTGGTGGCCGGCAGAACTCCAGTGGAGGACGCAAGGGTGGCAGAGGTGGAGGTCGCGGTCGGAATGCTAGAGGAGGGCGTGGCAATGGACCCAAGTGCCAGATCTGTAGGGCGTTTGGGCATTCTGCATACTACTGTCAAGGGGACGCAAGAGTACGGACTATGTATCACATCGTCATCTAGCACCGATATCCATGCTTATTCAGATTCAGACTGGGCCGGATGCCCGGTCGACAGGAAATCTACTAGTGGTTATGGAGTTTATCTAGGCACCAATTTAGTGTCATGGCTGTCACGGAAGCAGCGCACCGTGGCTCGGTCGTCGACAGAGGCAGAGTACAAGGGTCTAGCAGATGTCTCGGCGGAGGTCACCTGGGTCGTGTCACTTCTCCGGGAACTTGGGCTGCATTCTGGAAAACCGGCTACTCTGTGGTGTGATAATCTTGGCGCAACATATCTGGCGGCCAACCCGGTTTTCCATGCCAAGACAAAGCATGTGGAAATCGACTTTCACTTTGTTCAGGACAAGGTAGCTTCTGGAGATTTCGTTGTCAGTTTTGTGTGTACGAAGGATCAGTTAGCAGACATCTTCACCAAGCCGTTGTCGGCCGCACGTTTCCAGGCTCTGCGGAACAAGCTCAATGTCGTCTCACAACCCCCTTGAACTTGAGGGGGTGTGTTAGTGTTATTAATATTTAATAATGTTTTATTGTATGCTTTTGTAATAGTGGTTCTCTTTCCTTTGGTTTAGTCTTACCTAGAGTTTAGGAGACTATAGTGGGAGTCTCTCTATAGATCCCTATCTGATGTAATTCTGTAAGATTAGATTTTGAAATTCAAACTTCCTGATCTCATCTACCTCTTGTATGCACTCATATATGGACACATTATTGGCTAATTGACCACGTCTAGATTGATCGATAACTTCTTGTATATTAAATCAATACACATACATCTCCTAATTACTTTGCGTAACTCTAAATCTCAATCTGCAATTTAATTTATATATTATTGGTATCATATCATTTAATTAGTTTGTTTAATTAACTAGTTTTGAGATTAATATTAAAAAGAAAAAGAAGTAATATCAAAATGTTGATCCTTTAAACTTTATAAAATGTAAAAGCAACATGATTGAGGAGGAATTCAATATAATGTCCAATAAAAAAAAAGTGAGAATTTATGGGTTGAAAGACTTGACCAATACAAAATTCTTAATTTCAAGTATTTCTTAAAGTCATCATCACCTCTCCCAATCGCTATCCATTTTTCAATTTTCTGCAAATTATACGGCTTGTTTGCCTCATAACATTATCCAATCAAACGTAACATACGAAAAAGTCAAAAATTCATCGTGGCTTTCCACGCTCAAATAATATAAATTTATTATTATTATTATTATTATTATTATTATTATTATTATTATTATTATTATTATTATTATTATTATTATTATTATATTATAGGGAACACAAACAAATTTCAATAAAAGAAGAAAACACATGGGTCTAGCTCACCACCGAATAATATATCCTATGATTTCAATATATATATACACACACATATACACACGGTCGGACTTTCAAAAGAGTTAGACTTTTTATTGAGAACATGTGAACTAATCTCATCCGTTCATAAAATTATTAATGGTTCAATAGATGATGCTCTTCTTTTTACCTGTGCGTAAAGTTTATCTTATGACTTTAACCGATAAAGAATCACATTGTGATAAACCAATTATATTACGCATAATGTACTAATTTAAATTAAGAAGGTTCATGAAAAACTCTTACATAGATAAATATGAACTTTATGATTACTAAACTAAATATTTAAAAACTTAATTGAAAGTTGAAACGCCCCGAACTAAATATTATTTTTACCTATAAAAGTAAATTCTAGTAAAAAATGGAACATATGAGAATGTGAATGTATTACTTTGAAATTGAAGAGACATGTGATAAAGGGTGTTATTTGATTGGGTGAAAGAATGAAGATTTGGAGTTTTGGCCCAATTCAAAAATCTCCATTAAATGTATACTAAGCTTGACAGCTCAGGTGCATGTGAGTTGCGGTGGCTAAGGGATCCGCCCCTTGTCTTCACTTACCAGTTTTTCTTTTTTTTTTTCTTTTTATCGCTCGGACTTAGATCAATGGTTCAGTAGTTAATATTTGTGAGAAAATGTCAATGTTCAAACCTCGGTTCTGTAGTAGATCCCTTGTATGCACTGACATTTGACCCCATTTACTAAACCATTGACTCACGTATTGTGATTTACATCCTCCTAAATATTCTGTCAGGTCGGATTGAAGATTCAACCTTTTGGGACAATTTTTTTTTTTGGTGACTACAACTTCAATATATATTTGGTAGAATTATATAGGTATATTTAAAATTAGTGTTAGTATCATTTCCTATAGTACACTATTTTTTTGGGTGCTATTCTTATAATATACGATACACCCAAACATATCTATTCTTGAATTTCAGTATTAGACCCGCATGGGCAGCTCAACTGGTCACAGAGGTGAAACTTTGAAAGAATGATCAGGGATCAAGTCTCACCAGCGGCAGTGAGGTGTGAGGGGGGTTCCTTGTGCATGCACAGTGAGCACAGGTCTTCAGTTGTGTTACCATGATTGGAGTGTGGGGAGCCCGAGAACATGGTTTGTGCATCACACATTTCTCTAATAACACAAAGTTATTCGACACACCATCTCTTGGAACAAACCTTCATTTGTTGTTGAATATGATGTCTCAAAATATTTAGTTACATCTTTCAAGGTTTACTTCGATTAATTATGTCAGGTATAACTCGTCATTGGTGTCACTTTAGAAAAACTATAATTATTTATTATAATAAATTTTAATAAGTAAAAATAATATTTTTAATAATAGATAATAAATAATTCTACATTATCAAAAAAAAGAGGTTTAATTTGAAAGATTTTGGTATCAAAAAATTTTCACTTATACAAGATCTCGAGGTTATTAGCCGGATTAGTCATACAATTTTATCACTTTTTTATTTTTTGTATCACATTAATCAACAAATTAATTCATAATGGAAATGTTATATTATAATATAAAATATATTGATCACATAAAATACATATGAAACAATTGATATGTTGTTCTACTTGATTTCTTTCCAAAAGGTTGAACCCAATCCTAAAGGCCCCGCACCACGTGTTCTACTTGATTTCTACTTTTCCTATTACATGTGATATTTATTATTTGATGGTGAAATAATTTTTATTTTCTTCTCTAATTTACTTTATTACTATCTTTGAATAATTTCAAATTTTAAACTTTGTATTCAATAAATATATTGGTACAGTTTTTAAATATATAAATTTTATTTAATAATATTAAATTAAATAATGTAAAAAAAATTGACAAATAAGTTAAATAGATAAGTTTGAATTCTAAATTTAAAGATCCATCTCTCATGTCTTGAAAAAGAGTGAATGAGATAAATTATGAGTTGTGCTTCAACTAGACTACAAACTTCCAAATGGGTATACATTAATCCCTATAACAAGACCAACTCATATATATATACTAATTAAGTTGTACATGGACCCTTTACTATTTTAGTGTTTTTATTCCATTTGTGGAAATATAGAATATGATATAATACAGCCAAAAGCAGCAGTTAAACCAAACAATCCCTTACAACAACTATATTTTTTATGCCCCATCAACTACCCCAGCTATACACTCTATTAGTGAAGGGAAGATATGTAGATCAATATACAATTATACATGCATATTCAATTCTATAATTACTCCTATATTACATTGGTCATAGATTTTTTTTTTTGGGGTTACCGAGAAAAATTTGTAACTATTGTCTGAGAGTATTACGAGTTAAATTTTGTTATATATCGAATAGGAAGATTATGTGTGATAGGTCCAACCAAAAAGATATTGACAATAATAAATTTTGTAATTTTCAGATACAAGACTACAAGAGTTATGTTCTACATACTCAATCACCCCTTTTAGAGCAGTCATCAATTACTAATTTCGGTCTAAAATGTGTTAGATGCCCACACCCTATCTAAACTTCACACTTCTTTATATGAGGGCATTTCAGACATTTTGGACTAAATTTAATTGATTTGAAAAGTCAATGGGCTATAAAAAGTAAGTATTTGATAGTATATTAATTAAGATCAAACACATAATTACTACTATGCCAAAAGTTATAAGTGATGATGGAGATATAATTTTGTTTCTTTATACTTCCATAACATGTATCACATGCATGTACGCTTCGAATGCACGTCAATGACAGAATGCTGGATTTGACTCTTTAGACCTTCACTCAAAGCGTAAACATAATCGAGGGATTAAGTGATGTTAACTCTAACGTTAGTATATAATCACACAGTCACACACACACAACAGCACACAGTATTATGTTGAGTTTGAAGAATGGTCCTCACAAGTGACAACAAATGAGAGCAATCCTCCCCATGTTCTCCGCACAGCATTTGTGCAGACATTATTGTGAAGACCAGATCCTAGTTGAATGTTCACATGTTATTTTCTTGGCTCCAATTATATTATGTGTTGTCAGCATTCAACTAACATATACTTATAAAAACTGCCAACTTGGACACTACCCAATTTCAAAATTTTATTTGAAAATAATAATAATTCTCCCCCTTCAATGCAAAAGGCAAAAATCCTTGCCCTGGACCCCTATTAGGCCATTGGCCTTATAGAAATTGTGCAAGAGTTAAGTCATGATGGTGAAACTGTACTCCCACGCTACTGTTATTAGGGCCAGCTCACAAGATGGTGAAACTCTCACGCTACTACTATTAGAGACACCCCACAAGAGGGTGAAACTCTCACATTGTTTATGATCACCCTACAAGAGGGTGAAACTGCTGCTGCTATTAGGGTTACCCCACAAGAACGTAAAACTGGGTCACCCCACAAGAAGGTGAAACTCCCACGCTACTGCTATTAGGACCACCCCACAAGAGGGTGAAACTCTCACATTGCTGGCTATTAGGACCACCCCACAAGAGGGTGAAACTCTCACATTTCTGTCTATTAGGACCACCCCACAAGAGGGTGAAACTTCCATGCTGCTGCTATTAAGATCACCCTACAAGAAGGTAAAACTCTCAGGTTGTTGCTTGGGTTCATCTAACACCCGGGTGAGGGGAAAAAAAACCACATACAATAAGTGGGATGACCACATACAAAAAAGTCCCTTACATGTGTCTTAAGTGGTTGTGTAGAATTTTCCTAGAAAGAAATTAAATAAGTGATAGGTGGCAGCTACCACATACAATTCTAGCAACTTCAAAAATATAATTAATGTATCAAAGTGAAGGTCAACAACTTGTATGCTCAACTACATGACCACATTGTTTTGTGCTACTATACAGTAGTAGGTATAAATGCATCATCAATGCTCAAACCCACAACATTAAACAATGAAGAATTTCAAGTTTTCTAGGGGCCGGGCTAGAATTTAGTACACTACTTATGTATAATTCATGTTTTTATGCTCAAAGAACAAAGAACAAAGAATAAAATTATAAAATTATATAAAACAGAAAAAGACAGAAAAAAAATTACATAAAACAGGGTGTCGCAACACCAATATAAGGTTAGCAAATTAAAGAGAAGTGGGCTGTGGGCAAAACCCAGCTCTCAAGGTGTCACGTACGTTTGAGTGTTATTAGTCTATTTTGTTTGAATGTATAATTTGATATAATTAATTATTGAATATTATTTTACCATATGGTTGTATTTGGTGTGTGTTTGGCTCATTAAAAACTTGTTGAAATTGATTTTTTTTTTGGTTAAAAAAAAAAAAAAAAAAAATCTCAAACTTTAAAGTTCACTAGAGAAATCTAAGCCCAGAAAGATAAACAAGGATTTGGTTGATCAATATGTGAATAGGTCCACATTCCAGTCCATGCATAACAAATTGCAGGCCCAACCAAAGAGTGATTATGATATCAACACCCAAAATGTTACACTTCCAAGTTCAAGAGGATCGGAATTAGCAACAATTTTTTTTTTTTTTTTTTTTTTTTTTGGCAATGAATCAGAGTGTGTAGTGACCTAAAAGCTGACATACTAGGTATGTAGTGGGCAGTGACGTACACTAGGGAGCTGAAAAAACTCTCTTGAAAATTTATTTTGAAAACTTGAAAATCCTTCATTTGGTACCCATGAAAAGATATTATTTGAGAGATTGAAATTCTCTCTTTGGTGATTATTTGAGAAATGTGGAAAACTCATTAATTTTTAATTTGAGGAGTCATTTGTTTCAATTTTGATGAAAGAGTGGAAGATCAACAAGAAAATACCTCATGATTTCATGGAGTTCAAGATATAGTCTAACTGTGAAACCTAGCTAGGTTATCTAAAAACAACAATATTGATATGTTATTTTCTTAATTTTTGCAAATCCTCAAAATGGTGGATTGTCCCATGTTACAACAAATTATTGTTCATTCTTTGTTAGCAAAAGCTATGGGAGTATGGGACCGTGATGATCTTATAGCCTAGCCATAACACTCAAATTTATATATATCACTTGTAATTCAGACATTATATATATATATATATGTAAAAATTGAAGATATATAGATTTTGACTAAGCAGATCAGATGTGCATTAATATAATGTGAGCTGAGAAATTACATGTACATAGACTCATAATGAATATATATGTTGCATAAATACATGTATGCCTTTGTCATGCATGCATGCATGGTTATCATCACTACTTCCAACGCTTGAAGCTGCGCTTTCCATACTTCCCTTGCTTGATCTTTCCATGCTTGAATTTTCCATGGTGCCCATAGTAACCACCATGCATATGATGATGACCATGTGCAAGATGGTGAGCTCCAATTGCAGCAGCTGCAGCTGCAGCACCTCCAGCTAACATTGTTCCAAAGTTATTAGATCCTTGCCCCGCACCTACAATATAATTTCTCAATAATCATCTGCCCAACCAGCGATAACAGATATCCTAGATTGCATCAATTAACATGACTGAATTTCGCATAAATGTAATCATTTACATTTTTGGGGTTGCCCCGATAATATAGGGACAAGAGCTAGTGGGCCCGCAATAAACATGACTGAGTTTCACATAAATGTAATCAAGTACATTTTTGGGGTCATTCCGGGTAATGTAGGGACAAGAGTTAGTGGGCCCTTTTGGGGTCATTCCCGATAATGTAGGGACAAGAGTTAGTGGGCCCGCAATATCAGGTACAACGTACAACTCTAAAAACTTGCATGATTATAAGTTAGATTATAGAATTAATGTGCATACTTTTTAGGTAGTGGTTGTGGGTTATCTATTGAACCCGAAAACAAATCATAGTAGATTTTTCCAATAGTGATAAATTCAAAAGAGTAGGCAAGATATGCATATATACCATGATGTGAAGTTGATGGGGGTGGATAGCCAGCAGGAGGATAGCCATGTTGGGGAAATGCACCACTCGGCGGAGGATATACCGCCGGCGCCGGCGCCGGGTAGCCAGCCGGAGGGGGAGGGTGTGCACCGGCAGGAGGATACCCTTCCGGGCTGTATCCAGGTGAAGGAGGGGGAGGGTGTGCACCGGCAAGAGGAGGATACCCTTCCGGCGGCATGTATCCAGGTGAAGGAGGAGGAGGATGGGGATATCCGGCAGGTGATGGGTATGCCCCTGCAGCAGGAGGAGGAGGATGAGGATATCCGGCAGCTGGTGGGTATGCCCCAGCAGGAGGAGAAGGATGAGGATATCCATGATGACCGCCGCCGTAGCCTCCCGGACGGTGATGACCGGCGCCGGCAAATCCGGCAAGGTTAGAAAGCAGCCCCCTTCCCTGGAACTCTGGCTTTCCCTTCCCCATTTTTATTCAGCTCCGGCGATAGATTACACACCTATAACTGCAACAAATTCAAACACCACAATTAATCCTTAAATTATCTGTTAGGCAATATTCAAGAAAAACACCACATTTGCAGAAAACCCAAAAAAAATGAACAAAAAATGATTGAAAATGTTGCCTGTTCATGCATGTACTATACCTAGATAGATTCCTAGTTTAAGGAAAGGATAAAATCCTTCCTTGGTAGTGTAATCTAGAACCGAAGATTATGAAGGGAGATCAGGGCAAGGATGAAAAGATGCAATCAACAATGGCAGATATTTATATGCAGAGGGAGAGAGAGAGAGAGAAAGTTTTACTACCAGAGATTATTTTGATGGTGGTTAAAGGTTGATGGTTGAACCACGTACCTGCATGCATGCAGTCCTAGAATTCTGCTAGCCTTAGCTTAACGACCACCTATTTTTACACGTTAGTTGCTGCAACGTGTAATCTAGTCCGCTTTATTATGTGTGAACACGGTTTAAGGAAATAATAATAATATAAAGTTATATTGCATTGCATTGCATAGCACAAGAAATTGCATTATTACTTGGGGTAAGAAATTGCATTATTATAATATATATACAGATGAACATTACATGTACTTTGATACAACTATAAGTCTTCAAGAGATAAGGATTAAAATATAAAGTTATGGGGTGTTTGGTAATAGTTGTTAGTTAATAGCTGATTGGATTAGTAGGTTTGACTAGTTGATAACATTAGCTAATTATAGAAAAGTGTTTGGAAAATTAGCTCTTAGCTGATTACGTGTAAAATGATTTTCTCAAAAAGCTGATTGAAAACGCTTTTAAAATTTTAGCATTTTGAAGCAATAAGTTGTTACAAAAAGCTAATTAATCAAACACTTATATTTATTGTTTAACCAAGTCATGAAACAACTAATAGTGGTCAAAATTAGCTAATAGAGTAACTATTTTACCAAACATGGCCATAGTCCAGAAAGGATGTTTAAGTGAGTGAAGCATGACTCTCGAATCTAAAAAGTTCAGAGTAAAATTAACCTTTCATTCATGGATTGCAAAATCATCCATTGATACATGCTCTTCACTCTCCAAGGATCAAACTTTACATGTTCTTCACTCTCCAAGCAAACAGTAAAATTAAATTACCCCAAAATCACTCACATCAGAAGTTACAGTGCCATCCATCAAGTGTGGTAGTGTGAGTGCTAACAGCCACAAAAACGAGAAACCAAGCGATTCCCGGCCAGAATCATGTGTAGGATTGCCCGTTGCAAAATTAACGTTGTTGAACTTTTTCATACACCCTTCTGTAAATGCTGGAGCCTTCAAACTCTGCATGAATCTCCCTTTCAGTTCTTATCCCCATAGGGTTCTTTAATACCCATCCATTACTGTCACAAACAACATTAGAGTTTATGTTGTCGATGTGTATAAGCTCGTTGGACATAGTGTCAAAGTAATCTCTCATGTCGAGAGCCACCTCAAGCACGTCAGATTGTATGAAGACCTGCATGCCCGCCAAAATTTACGAGGTGCAAACAAACAAAAAAAATGATTTAATCACAAAAAGATAGAAGCTTGAGGAACAACGAAATAGGAGAATCCATATATCTTCTTGTAATTAATAGAAACTAAGTATGCATGAAAGTTAAACGCCATCAGGTAATAGAAGGATGGATGGATGGATTGCACATTTATGTTTATATATTATATATATATATGCTCAACACGCCCCCTCAATAGCACATTTATGTTGATGGGCTCCAAGCAACACGTGAAGTTCATAATCTCTTTTTTATCGGGTGACGCAGACATTCGAACCCATGACCAAGGTCATGGAGTTGGCTCTAATACTAAATTGAAGCATATGCTTCATCTCAACTAAAAACCTAAGCTGATAGTTGGATTGCACATTTATGTTTATATATTATATATGCTCAACAAGATGAGCCCAAAAACGATAATGTGTGATGGGTAAAGGAACAAAACTACCTTAAGCGGCTGTAATAGAAGGATGAGCCCTCAAAAGACGATGTTTAATGGATAAAAGAACATAACTACGCTAAGTGGTTTCTTCACTATGTGGAGTAGTATAATCAATGTACACTATAAGCCAAAATTAAGCGTTTAATTTACCTGTCCACCACGTGCTAAACGATCAATTATGGATTGAACCAACGGCTTTTGCACAACTCTTCTCTTATGATGCTTTTTCTTGAAATGAGGGTCGGGGCACTGCAGATCGACACGAGCACCTAGCTACTAAGTTTTAAGCAATAGTATTTCAAGCCTTTACTCTTTCGGCAAAAACAGTACACTTACCAAGATAGAAACTAACACCAAGGGTCCAGGGTATGTAGATACAATTCTCTCAAAGGAAATCGTCGCATTTGCAGACATAAAGTGTCTGCATATTATTAAATATAATTAACTAGAACGCAGTAAATTTTCTCAAGTTGAAAATAAACTTTTAAAATCCTTACATATTTCTGAGACCCAGCTCGTTTACCCAATACATAGCACGTGTAACCAACTGCAGAAGACAAGCGTTAAAATATCAGTTTTTTAATTTTCATTAAAATAACCCGAGTAATATGCAACCACTAAACCAAAAATACGTGAAAAGAGAAAGTTGTATTTCCCTTACTTTCGGACGAATTTCCAGTCCCAGATAGTTTTTGGATTCAGGATTTCTTTTAGCAAGGTACATAAGAAATCTGCCACTACCTGCACACAGTTGTGGTTAGACCCTAAACCCTAAAAACATTTAGGCTAAATTATACTCCTTACCACTTCCTATATCCACCATTAGTGGCAGCGATGTGTCCTTATATACCTCATTCCAGTTTGGCACTTCTGCAGGAACCTTCTTATAGTAAAAATGTAAAATGCATTTCGGGAAAAAGAAAAAGAAAATTGAGTGAAGAAGTTATATAGCATTAGAGTAATCACGGAAAACCATTTAAACTCAAATCAGAAAGTGTGCAATTTTCCAAAAACCAAAATGTTTACAGAAAAAGAAAATATTAGAAGCAAAGTGAGGTTACCAAGAGCGAAGAGCGCAGAGGATTAACATGTTGCCTTATTCTTAAGCGCCCCAATTCCTGCAACACCACATATTAGCAATAAACTCACTATTTAGCCAAATAACTCATGATACTATGATAGTCAGCAGAGTAATCTTCCAAATCATGTCACTAACAACTTAACATCAACAAGAAGCATAATGCTAATGTATTCAAGTCTAGGGGGCAGCGAGGGCAACCCCAACCAAGTTGGTTAGGCTGTTGTTGACTTGATAACCATAAGATTACAAGTTCGATTCCCAACAGGAGCGCCTTACTGGCCTGACCTTCTTGGTTTGAGCCAGTTAACATATAGTCTAGTTTACCTTCTTGTGGTCATTTGTTGCTAGAATGCTAGGATCACAAGACGGGATTTAACGAGTACACATTATGGCTTTCATTGCCACTCCCCAAAAAAAAAAAAAAAAAAAGGTCTAGGGGGCAGCAGATAATTACTATAGTTTCTTTTCCTCATTAACTAAGAATGAAACCAGTATAGGATGCACTATCCTCAGAATTTGCAAGAGAGAAAATCTCATTTCATCTCATCTCAGTTTCAATCAAAAATTGAGTTAATTAATTTCCAAATTCAGCAATGTAAATGTAAACACATTCAAGAAAACTGATTAATTTCAGCTTGCTGTTAGTAGCTATCACACCTAAAGCATCATAGAAAGCAGAAAATGCAGCGAATGCGTATAAGCTTCGTTCATCCAGACACCATAGAAGCAGTGGGTAGAAACAAAGAGCAACTCTTTTCTCTCCTGTTCCTTTGTTTTCGAGTACTATTTTACCTCGCAGAACTTATCAGTGAGATTGAGTTCGGCGTACTCCATGGCCACGAGCTCGGTGCTTCTGATAACCTGCCTCTCTATCTCGGCTTCAGAAGACGAAACGCCCGCCGGCGAAGCAGTCGCGGCGGAACTCCGGCAATAGCATCGAGAGCAGTGGCGCGGATGGGGTGAAATTGTTAGTGAGGGTAGTTTTCCCAAAGAGTGGATAGTGAATTCGCCGGTGGAAAGAACCCTCCTTGGCACAGCTGAGTACATCATAGATAGAGCCATTTTCTAGATAGTAATTCAAAGAAAGCTCTTTCCTTTCGCCCTCTTTCTTAAATTCAAGAAAGGAAATGACCCATTCTTCCATTCTTTTTGGTTTAAAACTTGTAATCACTATTTGAGGAAAGTACTTACAGCACGTTTGGTTCACGGAATGAATTTTGAGGTAATAGGAATGCTATTCCATAAGGAATGGAATAGGCAATGAATAGAATAGGAATTGTATTATATTGTTTGGTTCGCTGAAGGAATAGACTTTAGGAATTATATTACAGTGTTTGGTTGATTTAAGGAATAGAAATGAAATATGTTTTAAAAGACATAAATACTCTTATAAAAATATGTGATTGTGGCGATGGTGGTGGTGGCAGTGGCGGTGGCGGTGGTGGTGCTGGGGTGGTAGTGGTGGTAGTGGCGGTGGTAGTGGTGGGGGCGGCGACGGTTGTGTTGGTGGTGGCGGCGGTGGTGGCGGTGGCAGTGGTGGGGGTGGCGGTTGTGGCGATGGTGGTGGTGGTGGCGGCGACGATGGTGGTGGTGGCGGTGGCGGTGGTGGCAACGGCGGTGGTGAAATAGGATAAATTTATATATAGGATAAAAAATTAGGTTAAAAAAAGGGGTAAAAAAGAAAATAGATTCTAAAATCTATTCCTGAGCGTTCAGTAATGGGCTAATACCATGGGGGCCCTAGTAATAGCTATTACCTTATTTGAAGTAATAGGCTATTACCAGGAATACTATTCCTGGTAATAGAAATGGTTACCAAACAAAGAAATAGGCCTATTACTGAGAATGTTATGTCATTCCCAGCCTATTCTGTGAACCAAACAGGCCATTATAGTTTGCAAAATAAATTAATTTTAATTGTTTATATTAATTTGCTCAAATAAAAAATAATTTTACCTTCACATAAAAAATAAGTTTATCCTCACAAATGACCAATTTTTAACAATCAATTAGGGACCATATGATTGAGGGTGAGATTATAATCAATTTCGAATTGAAAAAGAATTGAAGTAACCTAACAAAAGTACAAAAATTAGCCCACACTTAATTGAGCCGACTCAGTTAACATCGTTAAATTGATGTCTTTATTTATGGTAATTAACATTGGTCATCTATGTTTTTATTCATTTTATTACAAGTCAAGTTCTAAGCATTATAAGTCCAATACAATATAAGATGTCAAGAGTACCATATCATAGGGCAAAACAAAAATGAATAGAGTTTAGTTTTGTATTTATAAGGTTCATGTTTGACTCCTAACAAGAGAAGTCTTCTTGGTTTGAGCCACAAAGCTTATCAATTATAGACAACCTAAACTAATTTACCTAATTGTGTAATCATTTGCTAGCTAAAATCACAAGGTCCTTTATACACCTTTAGATAATGATGGCAGGTTCCCCACACCACCCAAAAAATGAACAGAGTCGCAAGTAAGTGGGAGTAGGATTGATGTGCAAAAGAATGAATGTATTACACTCTTATTTACTCATGTAATAATCAAATTTTGGAGAATGTTTTTCCCATCACAAGTTTCATAATGGAGAGTTGCACTTCTTGGAGTAATCATCACAAACCTACCATAATTTGGAACCCTAAAACTTGATCTTCTATGACTAATCTTCTAGAGTTATTTCAAAACTTGAACCCAGAATGGATTGCAACAACTCCTCCTACAAGATTTTCGTATCCTACATTTTGGAACCCAGCTTCTGCAATCATTGCAGCGAACTTCTCCTGCAGAAAACAAACAAAAAAATGAAAGATCATTAGCTTACTACCATATTCTGAAAATGGATTTTAGAAAATGCTGTTAGAACTAGTTTCTGACTCGTCTAATATTATGTTCAAGTCATCATGAACATTCTAATGCTCAACAGCAGCATGATTTTGTGATGGCCACATGGAAGTAGTCGAGAGTAATTACATGTCATAATTATATACAGAATGATTCTGGAAGAGTGAAAGATTGAAAGCGTCTCTACATGCAGGCAGCAGAAAGCAAGGACTCGTAAGCTAAAAAAGTTCTCAAATTTTCTTTCAGTGAGCAGCTGGACATTGCCAGCATGCCACCGGAACATAACAATTGTTATTATAGTAGCACTAAAATCCCCTACTATAAAAAGTCCAGAGACTACCTGTGGAGGGAAACGGCGAATACTCTCAACCAAGTACTGATAAGAGTGACGATCACCAGTCACCATCTCACCGACTGCTGGGATGACTGAGAATGAATATAAATCATACCTGAAGGAGATTTAAAAAGAACCAAGTATTGCATAAAGTACAAAAATGGCAAGAAAACCAACTTCAAGGTAGAAAGTATACAAAATGGTAAATCATTTAAAAGGCACTTCATAATAATTGCAAGGGATACCAAATAGTGCACTACCACATAGTTTAAGTCAAACTACTTACAGATCTTTAAAAATCGGGATATCAACATGACTCAGTTCAAGGCAAAGGAATCTTCCTCCCGGCTTGAGCACCCTAACAAACAAACCAGAGTCATCACAATACCATTATGAGCACTTGGTAGAAAACTTCTGACTGGAATAACTAAAGGTAAACACAGATACCACCAGATTCAGTAAATAAGCCGTGCAAAACTCTGAAAACAGGTCTAATTCCATAACACATGCCCAAAAAAGACTTCCTCTTTTTTATTGTTGGAAGTGCTTCAGTATTACCTATAAGCTTCAGCAAGAACCTTTTCTATATGTGTGACATTCCTAATCCCAAAGGCAATTGTGTAACCATCCATGGAACTGTTTTCAAATTTCAAGGCTTCTGCATCTCCCTCCATCCAAATGAGGGATTTGTCCTCTCCAAAACCTGTAAGTTTTAAAACAAAATTATCGCTTTATGAGACATGGTTAACCAAACAAGATATATACATCACAAAAATGCGCTTATTACTTAAAGAGTAAGAGCATTCTCTTTAATCACCAGCAAAGAACATACTTTACCTCTTTCCTGAGCCCGCTTCTTACCAACATTTAACATGTTTGGATTGATGTCACAGACATAAATTTGGGTTTCCTCAATCACATTATCATCAAGAATATCTTGTAAGGCTCTGCGTTTTACACTTTTGATAGTTTCCAGAATCCTGAATGCAACATCCCCTGTAAAACTAAAGAAGTTTAAATCTCAAGATTTAATTAAGTGTTGATCATCCCAACGAAGATAGACCATGGCTCACAATCTTTTTTACTGTTCAAGTCAAGATTGTGAAATTACAGACATTAGAAGGACTGTATACTGCTCATTTTGGAACTTTGCTACCCTAGATAATGCTAAAATCTCAGCCTAATACCAGCTAATTAGTTACTCCGTAAAATTTTAACATTGATTTTCAGTTGAAGTAAAGTTGTCGGCTATTGAGCATCTTTATTAAAAGTTCATTTTGCCAAAACATTGAATTTACAGGGTATCTAATGACTCAGGTATAAAAGACATCAAACACTGAAAGTACAAATAGGCTGAGACTATTGTTTTGTGATTTAGCCTATTTCCTTAATTTTAATGAACAAGGTTCCTAGCAATCTAGCATATATCCATGAGGAGATTATTTTTTGTACTAATGCATCTATGTTCAAGGAGGCCTCACATCACAAAGATTGAGGATAACAAAGTTAAAACCCCACACTTAGGTTGATATATTAGCTAAAAAAAAATTACTGTTTCAAAATATGCAATGGAAAATGCAATCTTCTTCAACCTAGAATCCACAAGCTAAAACTGTTAATTCCTGGTATCATGAAGCTCCATCCTACCAAAATTTCAAACTAAGAGCATGGCATATCTCAGTGCAAGAAATGCTCACCTGTCCCACCAGCCACGTCAAGATGCTTCATTCCAGGAAAAGGATTCAACTTTGATATCAATCTGAAATAAATGACCTAAAAAATCAATATTGGCACACTCAAAGTTCCATAATATAATTCATGAGAATGAGAAATCGGTGACCTAACTGGTCCTTCCATAGCCTATGTAGTCCTCCACTCATCAAATCATTCATGAGATCATAGTTTGAAGCAACACTGGAAAATACATTTCCGACCAATTTGCTCTTTTCTTCTTCCGGTACCTCCTTAAACCCTGAAACCAAAACCTTCAAAGTAAACACTCTTCATACATGCGCAGGAGGAATAATTCCAGGAACCAACGATGATTCCTTTATCGGGGTGCGTAAACATTTAGGTTTAGATGTAATTAAGAACAAATTAGAATGAAATTGATGGATACTGACCGAAACTGGTGGCATGAGAATGCAAAGTAGACACCGGAGTGTACATTGATGAGAACAAACTGTTTTTGGTCCTGAGACCGCGAGCTATTGACCGCAACGCCGTAGCCATGGTTGAACCTCGTGATTGTTGAGAGGGAAGAAAATTTCTAAACCTAACCCCAATCGATTTGGGCACCTTCACACTCAGTCCTACCTTGAATGCCAAGAAATACTTCCCTAGTCTGTTGAATGCGCAGTGAGATCCACTAAACTCCCTTTTTTTTTTCTTTTTTTTTTTTTTCTTTTGGAGACAAACTCGAAATCATTACATGAAGATGTTTACAAGATAAAATATAATTCATATGTAATAGTTTACAAAGTTAATTATTGAAATGTCCCCTTCACTATAGTAATGTTGTTGATTTGATTCTTGACTTCCTTTTTTTTACCAATTAATGAATTCAATCTTTCAATTTTAAAAATCTTAACTAATTTGTTCCTATGTTTGTTTTGACGTTGGACATCTGTTAACTCGAGATTAAATTGATAATTTTGTTATACTTAAATGATCATTCCGGTCATCACATGTACCATTTTTTCTGAAAAGTTAATTACCAAAATTGTCTCTTGACTATAGTGAAATTACCAATTTGGTCATAAGTTAACGGATGACTAAATTGATTTTAAATTTTTAAAATTAAGAGATTTAATTGATGAAAAAAATATTGTCAATTACTAAATTGGTAATTTTGTTATAGTCAATATACTATTTCAGTAATTAACTCTAGTTCACAAAAAGACTAAACTCTCGAATTTTTTTATGTTACTCTCTCTTTTTTCTCAAACAAATACATCCATTAGTTATTCAAATTACAAAATGTATCATGATTCGTTAATTCTATACAAGTCACTATTAAAACTAAGGCCTACAATTTGTATATAAAGTAACGAAACTAACATTATTAGCATAGGGTGACAAGGATGTTGCGATCTAGTGGCACCAAATTGCTCTCCCATATTGAAGGTTGTGGGTTCGTATCTCAGTTACATGTGTTTCTTGTCATAAGAGTTTTAAAAAAGATTTAAGATTTTTTTTTTATCTTTTATTAAAAAATACGCCAAACATAAATGACACTTATGTCTCGCATATTATGCATGAGATGCAACTATGCAAGTGTCACTTTGCATCTCTCAAGCGTATAAGATACGAAGATGAAGCGCAAGTGTATTTACTTTTCTCGTACAATACAAAACACACAATTGCTACTTGCGTAGGTCTTCCATTGCCGCCGATTGCCACCAGTCACAATAGACGCATGAAGCACTTGCGTGTCTCATAATATCATATTACTGGTATGACGCATGAAGCACTTGCGTGTCTCATAATATCATATTACTGGTATGACGCATGAAGCACTTGCGTGTCTCATAATAGACGAATGAAGCACTTGTGTGTCTCATAATATCATATTACTGGTATTAACAAGTCACTCTCTTTGGTTGCCACCAGTCACAATAAACGCACGCGTGAAGCACTTGCGGGTCTCATAATATCATATTATTAGTATGACGCATGAAGCACTTGCGTGTCTCATAATATCATATTACTGGTATGATGCATGAAGTACTTGCGTGTCTCATAATAGACGCATGAAGTACTTGTGTGTCTCATAATATAATATTACTGGTATTAACAAGTCACTCTCTTTGATTACCACCAGTCACAATAGATGCACGCATGAAGCACTTGCGGGTCTCATAATATCATATTACTGGTATGACGCACGAAGCACTTGCGTGTCTCGTAATATCTATTACTGATATTGACAAGCCAATCTCTTTGATTGCCACTAGTCACAATAGATGCATGAAGTACTTGCGTGTCTCATAACATCATATTACTAGTATTAACAAGTGACTCTCTTTGATTTAGTAAATTTTTATTTTATTTTGGGTTTTGAATCTCATTAGCTTATTCAAATTCAATTATCATGTTTGTTTTATTAGTTGTATTGACAAGTCACTATCTTTGATTTAGTAAATATTTTTTTTGGGTTTCGAATCTCATCCATTTATTCAAATTCAATTGATGTAATTGCTCTAAAGGAGTAAACTTATTATTGTTATAATAATAATAATAATAATAATAATTATTATTATTATTATTATTATTATTGTTATTATTATTAAGCTCACAAATAGTGTTCTCTTTAATTTACCTATTAAGATTTTTTTTTTAAATTTCTAAAAGAAGTACAGTAATTTATGTAGTACTATAGTAAAATGAAAAAGATGTATGAATTATCTTTTACTCCGTAAAAAAATTAATTTTTTTTTTTTTTGAATTTCAAGATAATTGTTTGGACAATTTATGTGTGTTTTTCAACAACTCTTTTTCGAAGGACGCGAATTAAAAGTACAGAGAAAATCGAATTTGGATGAGCAAAGCAGATTTCAAAAATATAGCAAGTACACAAAAAGTTTCGATCTTCGATTTCAAATATACATAACGAAAAGAAAGAATCTCGAAAATTATCTGTCAAAAAATAAGCCTACCCAACAAGACTACAGTGGGAAAAGGGAAAATCTTGGAGAGAGAGAGAAGGGATGAAGGGAGGGAAAAAGAAATTCTTGGGCGCGGAATCTTCTCAGCCTTCCGAAATCGTCGCCTCCATCGCCGGGGACGGCGACGCGGGTAGCTCTGAGCAGCCTACGGGCATTTCAACGGGAGCTCAACCGCAGGCCGAACCCCAGCAGCAGCAGGACGAGCGGGTCGGAGCTGATGCTGAAGGCGGCGCGGCGGCGGAGGACGACGACGACGGGGAGCAGCTGGATGAAGAGGCGGAGGACGAAGCGGAGAAGGACGACGAGCAGTACGACGACGACCTCCAGATCGAGGAGGCGGAGGGCGAGGCGGAGGCGGGAGAAAATGGAAGACCTAAGCTTGCAGAAGGGTATTACGAGATTGAGACCGTGAGGAAGAAGAGAGTTCGAAAGGTATTATCCTTTTATGCGTTTATCTTTATCATAACAGATTGGTTAAATTTCTCCTGTGACATTTTCCCTAAAAAAGTTTCATTCCTTTATCTGATTTCATGCTTGTTTGATTGCTGTCTTTCACAACTTTGGAACAACAAAAGGGCCAAGTGCAGTACTTGATCAAATGGTAAGCAATGCATTTATGTTTTTATGTGTTCTTCAAAATGTAAAATGTGAGTTAGTCATGGAGATTTTGTAGTTTAACTAGAGGTTTCCATGATTCTTTTTCTATGGTTTCTAGACATTTAGTGCTTGTATTCTGATTGGTATTTACCCTTTTTGCAAAGGCGAGGTTGGCCCGAGACTGCAAACACGTGGGAGCCCGTGGAAAATCTGTTATCATGCTCTGATGTTATAGATGTGTTTGAAGAGAGGTTATCCTTTCTTAGCGTCTTGTGTTGAATTGTTGTTAATTGGATTTTGTGTGTTTCTTGGGAAAGCTGTGGTTTTGACTGGATTTAGTCTTTTGTTTTTCTATGAAGTTTGCGGTCTGGCAAAAGATCCACACGAAGGCGTAAGCGGAAGCATAGTGTTGTTCACACTCAAACGAAGAAAAAACAACATCAGCATCAGCAGCAGCAGCAGCAACAGCGTTCCCCTGCAGCTGCCACGTATAGTGTGCCAGCTGTCAAGGTCAGGATAATGGACGAACCTTTGCCCTTTCCGTGTGATAACCCGAGTGTGAATCACTTGAACAATAATGTTGTCCAGGTGGTGCATGAGAATGGTGTGAAAGCGGATTCCTCTCGTAATGACTTGGATCTAAAACTTAGTGAGCTTCGGGGAATGCCTATGACTAACGGGGCCAATGTGAATAAATCTCAGGAGGCTCGTATTCCAGGCGAGGGCCTTTCGAATGGGTTTGTAAAACCAGACGGGACACAATCAGTTCAATCTGGTCGCTTTACTGGAGCTAAAAGGAGGAAGTCGGGGTCGGTTAAGCGATTTAAGCAAGACTCGTCCACCAATGTATTGAACGATATGCCAGATGCGACAATCAAAGCTATCGGTGACAGTGCGATTGCAGTTGCTGCGCCTGAAGGAATTCAGAACCTTCCATTTCCGGGCAACGATTGGGGCCACAAGAACAAGTCTGCGAATTTTGAAGATGCGTATAACATTTCTCAGATTGTTAAGCCGGTTGGCTATCAAACTTCTGTGTCCAATGGAGTCCAAGAAGTTTCCATAACCTTTTTGGCTAAGAGGTTTGTGACACAATACCAACTTTCCTTTTTCTGCCATTTTTTCGAGTGTTTTATCTGTTTATTAACCTTTAAATTTAAAACTTGACTGAATCAGTTGATGAAAGACTGGCATACTATAATTCTGTTTATTATGTTATAAGGTCAAATATGAATTATAAGAAGCCACCCCCCCCCGTTGGTTAAGTTTTTCACAGTTATATCACTATGGATCACTAATCTTATTTACAATATACTCGATGAATCCACATCTCTAAATCTTGGATCTATTATTTAACCTTAAAGTACTTTATGTTGTTTACTAATACCGATGTGGTGAGAATTTTATGTATTCCATCATGAGTTGTCATTTCATGTTCTTTGTTCCTTAAAATATACTATTTACCAAAAAGTCATCACCCTTACTGATCAGTTACACAAAACAACATGCCTTATCTGGTATTTTCAGGTGCATTTAATTTCTTGATACGTTGTTATTTTGGTTATTTTAAAATTCGTAATTTTCCATGGGTTGCTATAAATTGTTCCATATGTTTGTTTTCGGGAAAAATGTATATACTTATTGCTGTTGTCAATTCACATCCATATATTCCATTTAGTACTCTGTTAAAATATTAACAATTAACACCGCAAGATGTGAAGAGACGAAATACTTTTTGGTTGTTTTTTGGTGTATAATCTGTGACAAAAATGTTGAAAGTGCAATCTTTCCCGAAACCAAACAATAGAATGAGATTTTTACTGCAAGTTTCCCGATTACTTGACCAACCTCGAGTATTTGGCGGGTAAAACCGTAAAGTTCTTTTGAATATTTTCGGTTGGTGCAAATAATGATGACCTCTTTGCATTCTGCACTACAGGTCCGATGGGAAAGAGGTGACGGTGGATAACAAATTTCTGAAGGCAAATAATCCACTTCTGGTATACAAAATTTTCTCGTTTTCAATTCTAATTTGCGTCTTTAGGAATTTGTGGTCGTGTAGTTACTTATTGGATCAATCTTGCTAAACTGTGCAGTTGATAAACTTCTATGAGCAACATCTACGGTACAATCCGTCTGTGTGAGTGAGGATGCTGAGAAAGGGGAAAAACGCGGCAATATGGTTTCCACATCTGTGAATGTATAGTGTTGTAATTTTTTGTAGCAGGAGGCCTTAGCTTTAGCGATACTTATGATGGTAGTAAATAGTTTAAGCTGAACCGCATGGCAGGAAGTCTAGCGTTAAGTTACAGTGATTGTCGGAGCTACATGATATCCGAGGAATGAAAATTTTCACGACATTGTTGGGCTGCTGCAGTTTCAGCAGCTCTTATTCGATCGTTTTCCATGCACATCACATGTTTTCGAGTATTTACATTTTCGTGTTGCTTATATTCTTAAAACTCTGGATCTCTGTTGTTTTTAGTTGTGGTTCAGTGATGTCTATTTTGAAGGGAAATCTGTCTAGTCCTTGGATGTGCTAACAAGGCATCTGTGGTGTTTTAGTTGCCATTTATGTGGCTTAAAGTTGAGCAGAAAATGTTTGAGCCTTCTTGTGACAGGGCAGAAGTTGTCAATTGTGGTCATACATTTGACTTCTTGGTTGATCTCTTCAAAGATGACTAGAATCCCAATATTCTTGCAAATTGTGTTTGATTTGAGACATCATTTGTCTTTGGCAATAGTCTCTTTGCAAGATTGAAAAGATTATGTCTTTTCGGTGGTAGATTGTGATAAGGACACATAATTGAGTCTGACAGTTGCAGTGTGGGAGTTACACCCAATGTACCTAATAGACTGATGGGTTATTGTGATTTACCCTTCACTATCTTATTGGGCTTGGATATGGAGAAAAGTATAATTCAAATTGTCAAGGATCTTGTGGTTTAGTAGTACCAAGTTGTTCTGCCATATGGAAGGTTGTAAGTTCGAATTTGAGTGGTGACGGTATTGACTCTTTGGGCTTCAATTGGTTGAGAAAGTAGTTATAAACAGATACTGTATGTCTGTACTGTAATAGAGTCAGTAGTACTCAAAAAAAGTATAATTCAAATAAAGACATTCTTCAGCATCAAAGATCCTCAGAAGAAAACATCATTCAAAGGAATAAAACATTTGACCATTGCCAACCCAAAAAAGCAGGACCTCTTGCTTATATTGCCAGTTTTGATCACAAATCACAGTATCTCTGTTCTGTTTGAAGCAACCCAGAGATTAGAGGTGTGCATATTCATGGCAATGGCCAATGGAGGCCCTTCACCAGTGGTTCCTTCTCTCATACTAGGGTTCCTCAGCCTGATCATCGTTGGACCGACCATTTCGACATCCATCAATGGAGGCACAACTGTTGTGGTCATGCTGCTGCTACCTTTCTTCTTCTTGTGGCTGGTGCAGTTGTCTGCAACATTTGTGCCAGAAATGAAGGCTTCCTCCATCACATACCATCAAAGCAGTGGCTTTGAATATGATGCAGAAGGGTTCTTTGGCTTGGGCACCTTTCTTCTGGTAGTTCTGTTTTTCACCCTGTATAAGATAGTTTAACTTCCATCTATACATACAAGATTGAAAACAGAAGTTTTGTAACCACAGCATATATATAATTATATATCTTTCAAATTGAAAATATTGTTTCCATCAGAGCACCAAAAGAAGACGAAAACGCTACTGGTTGAAAGAATACATTACATCAAATTCCGACAGTTGAGTACAAAAACGGGCTAGTTCTTTGGGATGTTTTTCCCTACAATCTTGGCGGGAGCGATTCTTAGAAGGTTTCCCGGCTTACCAGGAACAGCCCCTTTCACCATTACAATCCTAAGCTCATCATCAATCTTGACAATCTTCAGCTTTCGGATCTTTGTCTTCGTCCCTCCCATTCTTCCAGGCATTTTCTTGCCTTTATACACACGTCCAGGAGTCGTTCCAGCACCAATTGAACCGAGCTGTCTATGACTCTTCGATCCATGAGTCATAAGACCTCTCTTGAAATTATGTCTTTTGATTCCACCTGGTCACAAAGTTCAAAACGCTTCTGATCAGTGTTACACTCACTCAAGATTACACTTTATCACATCAAAGTAGGGGATAAACATAAACTCTCTGAAGGCAAAAGAAACACTGGAATAATACAACACGACTACACATGGAACGTTTTGATACAAGCCAATTACTGTAAACATAACATCAAATGATCATATGATGAAACTAAACTAAACAAATCCATATTGCACAAGTTATCGAGGGAAAGCTAAAAACGCCCACGTGAAATCCTCAAATGATAATGCAAGCAATATCACCACACCATTTCTAATAAATTTAGCTTTGAGATGAATCAATATTAATAGCTTTAGATATATACTACAACATGAACATCACCAAGCTCTATATCAAGATTCAAGCACCATAAACATCAAGATACAATAACACTTGGGGCAACCCCTACCAAGTTGGTCACGCTGTTGATTTGATAACCACAAGGTTCCAAGTTCGCCTCCCAATGGGAACGGTTTATTGGCCTTCTTGGTTTGACCTGTTTGAGTCGATCAGCTAACAACCTAGGTTGTTTACCTCGTTATGGTCTTTTGCCAGAAAGGTAATAAGATGGGTTTACCCTCGGGTAGTGGTTGCAGATTTATCTATTTAGTCAAAGATACAATAATACTCCTTTTGAAAACTTCTACTAGCCTACTGCTGCAAATATATATCACAATTCTCGAATGCTTTTACAGTATTACATTACAAAAGCTTGCATCTTTACATAGATAATCAGCTATATTAAGTCTAGAAAGGCTCAAAATGAACCTTTCACATGACAATCATTATCTTTGAACAAGCAATTATCAATATATGTATACATTTGGTATGCAGAAATACCTTGAAACCCTTTTCCAATGGTGGTACCGGAGACATCAACTAGGTCACCTTCGTTGAAGAGCTCGCTGAAGACCAGCTGCTGGTTGGGCTCGAAGCTGTCGACGGACGGGAGCCGGAACTCCTGCAGATGGCGCAAGGGAATTATGCCGGATTTCTGAAGGTGTCCCATTTCGGGTTTGGTGAGTTTCCGGTCACGGACACGGCGGTACCCTACTTGGACGGCGTTGTAGCCGTCAATAGCATCGGTCTTGACCTGAGTGACAATGTTGCCCTCGCGGAATCCGATGACGGTGACGGGAACAACCGTGCCGGAGGGCTCGAAGAAGCTCATCATGCCGAGTTTCGTCGCCATTACGCCCACGCCGGCCTCCATGGAGGCCGTGATTGGGGAGCAGGGGCGGCGGAGAGAGAGTGGTTTTTGGGGGTTGTGCGTGCGGAGAGGTAGGTGGACGAGGAACGAGGAGCGGAAAATCGTGGCGGCATTGGTGGCTACGGCGCCGGAGGGCGGCGGCGTTAGGCGGAGAGAAGAGATAGACATGGCGCTTCTGAAGAAATGAAAGGTTCGTTCTATCCTTATCCACCGGCGAGGTGGAGGGAAGCTGCTATAGCCTGCTATTCGGAACACCTTAACTTCTGTGTTCCCTCACCCATTATAATTTGATCCGGCCCAAACTGCTGGCCCAAGATTTATTCATTGCATAGGATATTTGATCCATTGGGCCCAGATTGAACTGGATCCTTCCAATTTCACAGAATAGGCCCATACTATATTTCCTTCTTTTTATTTTTATTTTTCAAATCTTTTGTATTGTTATAAAACAATAGATTTGGGATTTAGGGTGTGTGTATATATAGTCTAGCTTCCGCGAAAATAATGTCTCTGGTGAGAAGTGTGAACATTAATCTAGTAGATTTTACGGTTAAAAAATAAAGATAAAAAAAAAAAAATAGTGAGGCCGATTCTATAAGTATAATAAACTTTCAAGGTTTGTAATATTAGTTTATAATATTTATGAAATTGATCCATTTTTTTCTTATTTTCTAGCCATTGATCATTCAAGATGAACCATTTAGATTAGTCTACATTTCTCACAAGAAGCCTGATTATGAAGAAAAAAAATTGGGTTAATAGTAATTAATGAGGTTTAAACCTATCACCTCCCACTTAAGAGAGTACTCGAATACTAGTGGACTACAAAGTCCTTGGTATTTGTTGAACAATTTAATTAATAAGTTGTCAATTATTTAGTTAGTCCAATATATTCTCACCCTAACCAAAATTCTAAATTTAGAAATTTCCATCCACCTAAACTTTGAAATATTAAAAGAAAAACAATCATAATCCACAATTACTTGTTAACTAGGCTATTGAATTGATTGAAGTCTAGCTCTTGAAAGATATAGTCAATAATAAAATAAATGTCCAAAAATGCTTAAAGAAAAGAAAATAAAATATATATAGTTGCCATGATCAACATGATTGGATAACAGACAACTAAGTAGCTAGTGGTGTCCAGCTAAGCAAAAATAAAACATTAATGTTATATTCTAGGTTCATGAATTGAACTTCAGCAGTCCACTATCAAAATGTTTTTTCTTTTTTAAATAATAATTGTTGAATGTTGACCCACACTTGTGTTGACATGCCAATTAGCTCCGTTTAATTGGCTTTTCTTTTCATTTTTCAAAAGTTTGGGTCAAGATGTTGAGTTTTCATTGGATATAATTTTATTTTTTATATTGCACGGGTATGTGCCCACAAGTCCACAACACTATATATGTCTCTTTTATTGAGTGTAACTCCAAAATAATAATAATAATTATTATAAGATATTGATCAATAACTAAAAATTTTGTGATCAAGCGGTATAGAGTGACTCGTTAAAGTTCGGTAGGTTGAGAAAGTATATTTGAACATATATTACATGTAACGGGATGTACTGTGTATATAGTCGATGGATACATGTATCATTATAGTACCCTACCAATATGAATGTGTGTGTGTGTGTGTCTTTTTTTAATATCATATCATGTGTAAGATCGAGACATCATTGTTAATTTGAACAGATACTACATGTAACGGGGTATACTGTGTATATAGTCTATGGATACATTTATCATTATAGTACCCTACCAATATGAATGTGTGTGTGTGTGTGTGTGTGTGTGTATTTGTGTTTTTTTTTTTAAATAAAAAAATCATATCCAGTGTAAGATCGAGACATCATTGCTAATCGATTTATTATTATTATTATTATTATTATTATTATTTCTATACACACACACACGAGAATGATTTCTAAAGTAAAAACTACAAGCTAAATTTGACTGTCGATCTATGTCGATCAATGATTGTAAAATAAAAAAAAATAGTGACATTTGATAAATATTTCAAACTTAAAGTGTATCGCGTTACAAATAACAATATGATCATTGGTATGTAACCATGCAATGCATCATTACGCACCAGCAATTGCACTTATAGTGTTACATAATGGACTTGTAAAATCTTAGTTTAAGTGCACATTTATATATCAGCAATTGAACTTATAGTTATTGCAAAATACATGTTATTAGTTCTATAAAACATGATTCTCATCAGAATCTGTTCTATATATATATGTATTGTACTGATATTTGTATAGTATGACATTAATCTAACCCATGGAAAGCTATTAGATATGATTTTGTTTTTGGGTTCCAACATATTGATGGCATTGAAGATTAAAGGGGATTCCTTAGATACTAATAATATGGCTGTGATTCAAAATGGAATGATTGAATGTTCATGTGGTTACTTTCCACTTTCATCAATTGTTACACCAAACTTTCTGTCAATTTTGAACCTTAAAATGTCAGACATATGTTTGAGTAATCTTGTTTGTTTATACACATGCACCCAACTTACTATATATATATATATATATATATATATATATATATATATTTCTTGGAAAAATCAAAGAAATGCTTAAATTTATGAGTCAAGCCCAAATTTTAATATCCAAAGGTAAAACGGGGATTCGATTATAGTCACGAATATTTGAAATTTTAATTTGAATTAGACTTTTTGTGTGCAGAAGTGTACAATTTGATATTAGGTTTTGAAATTATATTTGCTCTATTTACCTCAGTTCTTCATGGGTCTAGGAGACAAATTCACAGAATATAGTATGTGAAGCAGGAAAATCTGAATTATTAAAAAAAATTGGTTGCCAAGTGAGCTGCCAACTTCTAGGGGTGTCAAGGTAGGCCGAAACCTGCAAACTAGCCCTAAATCGCTCCACAATAGGATGGATTAGGGTCTAGAATTTTGACCTTGACCTGCGAAAATACAGGCTTCGAGGACTTGTAAATACAATTTAACAAAAAATTTTAAGGGTGTAATTGAAAATTGGAATAGCGATCGATTGAAGTACCAGTAAATACAATTACTTGTCGCATGGGTGAACTATGTTTTGAATAATCTCTTGCTCCAATCTTAATGGCACATTTAGTTCGCAAAATAGACCTGTTGTATTGCTATTGACCCTTTTACATGTACTTAGGGCCTGGACATTTTTTTTAAATACTATTGACCCTGTTACATGTAGTATATATTAACACGCACACAAATTTTCTTCTCAGTGAATATGATAAATGACCGGTTGAGTCTCAATTCTTCCCCAATGAGAGGCTAGCAAAGTAGCAAATCTTGTCTACACACCCAAATCTAAACAAATTAAAGTTTTTATATATAAAAAAGAAAGACAAATGAAAGAAGCTTTAAATTAATGGCAGCATTTCATGATAATAATGACATCTTTCCATCCACCTTTCCCAGTGGTGGGTTCACAGTATAGTGCGAAAGAATCTTGATAAGTATAGCACAACAAACATCATCTTTTCCAAGAACAGCAAAGGGATATGTAATCTGGAAAACTCTTTACTTTTTATTATTATTCTTTTTAAAACCCAAAGATAAAAACTATACTACGTACAAAAACTTTCTTCAACCTAATTATTATGTATGTGTATTAAATTATATTGTCACGTCTGTCGTCTTCTCCAACATATATAATGCCTATGCCTATTTCTTCTCAACAGACAGGACTAAATGTTGGTGTGCACGATCCACAAGAGATTTGTTTATTTTGGTGTCATAATCTCACAGTGCCTACTGAACCATTGAGCTAAACCAGTGCAGACTGCCTATGCCTATTTCTACCTCAGTTAAGGGGTGTTGCATATACACTGAGGGATGAAGGGTGTCAAAGGTGGCAGAGTTGATTCTAGTGGGTAAAAGACCACAATGAGATAAACGAGTTTAAATTATCGATTTAATTAAATCAAGAAGGCATTATAAGTTATATTACAAAATAATTATATATATATATATATATACAATTTTTCATGAAAGTGATGGGTTGTGATATGAACAAAATCTCAATCAAACAATAATTTCTCAACATGAAATTTCCATCTCATGTTCATAAAGGAGAAATGAGTTGCCCATACAACCTAGCTAGCACGCACTATAATTTGTCCATTAATGGCAACTGTTTAAAGTCAATTTTGCATCACAGAATCGGTGTGATACCATAATCTTTGGGGAGTTTTCTTAAACTCGATCTTCACACAAATATGTTTTTTCTTAAATACATATATGTTTGGTCTTTAATCCCCATACCTAATCAATTTTCATTTTTCTCATCTGTCAACACGCAATTTCTTGCTCTATCTACACCATTCTTGTTCTAGCTTAGGTGTTTTAGGTTATCTCTAAAGCCTAGAGGTGATCACAAAATGGTTTAATATAATTTAAGCCCGTTCTATCAGTCTGACTTTAAAATTAACAGTTTAAGTTAGGCCGCTTCAAGGAAGACTTGCTGTAATTGTGAACTTGTAATTATATTTAACTATACTTTGTACTCTGTATTTAATCAAGAAAAAAAAAAACTTCTGCTATGTAAGGGGTGAATGAGTATGATTTATATGCTATTACACAAAAGTAGAGCATATCCAATGCACACTTAGTAATTGTCTCAAATATTTTATATCAAATCATGTCTTATAATGTTACTCCGTATAACTTTATTCAATTAACTTAAAAGTGTTAATTCACGAATAATTAATGGTTTCTTGTAAATGGTGACTGAGTGGGTGGAACATGATTATTGCACCTGAAAGTTACCAGTTTGATTTATCTTTTTGGTTGAGTCCGCACATGGTCTCTAAGATGATTAAGAAAAAAAAAACGCTCTTTTCTAAATGGCCTAAATCCTTAATTTTCGTATATTGATCATCTTAGATGAACGAATAAAATCAGTCTTCACTTTCTCACAAGTCACAAAAGGCTAGTTCTTATTTAATTATTTCTCTCTATTATCTAAAATTCTTATATTCTATAAGAGATAATGCCACATGTGATCCTCCGAGTATAGTGGTTTTGCCACGTTTAGTCCTAAGCTTTCAAATTGACCATCTGTGGTCCTTCGATTTTCAAATTTAACCATTTGTGGTCCAAGATAATCACCCATGGTCCTTCAGCTATTAAATTTTAACCAATCAAGGTCCTTTCAAGAGGATTACGGCTGGTTAAATTTCAAAACTTGAAGGACCATGGGTGGTTAACTTGGACCACGAATGGTTAAATTTAAAAGTCGAAAGACTACATATGGTCAATTTGTAAATTTAGGACTAAACGTGGCAAAACCACTATACTCAGAGGACCTCAAATGATATTAAGTCATTCTATAATTATATTTAAATTAGTGAAATTATTTTTAAACCTCTTTTTATAAAAGGAACTCTCATCAGTCATTACAGTACTTAGGAACAGTATATCCACTGAGGCAAAGAAATCAGCAGTTAAATGGAGAAGATGGAAAAGCAAACCATACAATACACTAACCGTCTCCTCCTCCTCAGTCCTCTCCCAGGAAACCCTGTCCTACCAACCCACCACCTTCTACCTCTTCACCCTTCCATTCTACCCTTCAAACTCCTCTGAACCGTGAAAAAAATTCTGTCTTTTTGGTGTTTTCATGATCATCTTTGCAGAACCCAGATTCTTGTGTGCAAATATTCATGCTTGAATACCCAAGAAGGAGCCAATTTCTGTGACCTCGGAGCTCACAAGACCCAACCAGTATGAATTTCATGGCGGAAATGAATGGTGTTTTGGTCTTGGGGTTGTTGTTGATGATGATTTCAGTCTCCGGTGCTGTCAAGAAGCAGAGCATGGTGGAAACGAATAGGTTCTTGGTTCAGAAGCACTTGAATCGCTTGAACAAGCCCGCTGTCAAGTCAATTCAGGTAAAAAAAAGTAATCTTTAAAAACCATGAATTGATTAAAGGGTAGCATGGATTCATGGTGTTCTTTTATGTGCCAAATACACAGAGCCCAGATGGTGACATCATTGACTGTGTTCATATGTCTCACCAACCAGCTTTTGATCATCCCTTTCTCAAGAATCACACAATTCAGGTACCCCCCCCCCCCCCCTCCCTTTATACACATGACATGTATAAATTGGTTCATGTTTATGGTGGGTGTTGTTAGATGAGGCCAAATTATCATCCAGAAGGGCTGTTTAAGGCCAGCAAAGTTTCCACACTGAGAGCCAAGAAGAAAGGGCCAATACCAATTTCTCAGCTTTGGCATTTTAATGGAAGTTGTCCAGAAGGAACTATTCCTGTGAGAAGAACAAAGGGGGAGGATATCTTGAGAGCCAGTTCTATCAAGAGCTATGGAAAGAAGAAGTTTGGAACTGTTCCCAAACCCAAGTCTGCTGATCCTGACATGGCTACCCAAACTGGGCACCAGGTAACTTAGATTGAAATGATTGCATAGAATATAATGATGAAGATGGATTTGTTTTTGAAGTTATTGAAAATAATCTTGTTTTTTACTTTGGTTTTGTTATTTTGGAGCTGTTAGCATGCTATAGCCTATGTTGATGGAGGCAAGTACTATGGAGCAAAAGCAACCATAAATGTATGGGAGCCTAAAATTCAGCAGTCTAATGAGTTCAGCTTGTCCCAGATTTGGATTTTGGGGGGTGATTTCAATTCAGATCTCAACAGCATTGAAGCTGGTTGGCAGGTACTGAAATAGTTCGTAGCTGACTGGCTCAAATCAAGAAGGCCAATAAAGCTAAAAGCGACCAATTTGGTTTGGTTGTACTTTTTTTTTTTTTAAACCTTTCTTTGTTTTTGTGGGTAAATGAACAGGTTAGCCCAGACTTGTATGGAGATCACAACACAAGACTTTTCACCTACTGGACAGTATGTGACCAATTTTCCATTTTGTTATCTACTTTTCTATTGTTACCATGAATGCATTCTTACCAATACCATCACTCTAAGGTGATATAGCCTGATGGGGTTGTGTTGAAATTTCTCGAAATGTGTTTTGACAGAGTGATGCTTATCAAGCCACTGGTTGCTACAATCTGCTTTGCTCAGGCTTTATTCAGATCAACAACGAAATCGCCATGGGAGCCAGCATTTCCCCTCTTTCCAGCTATCAAAGTTCTCAATATGATATCAGCATTCTTGTCTGGAAGGTACTTTCTCATTTTTACGAGTACTACTGACTCTGTTACAATGTAGTATCTGTTCATAACTACTTTCTCAACCTACTGAAGCACAAAGAGTCAATACCCTCATAATCTCATATTATAGATAAAACATAGAACATTTATTCTTGATTGTATAACGTTGTGATTTGTGTAGTTATGTTTATGTTCTACCTTTTATGTCATAAACTATCAACTTGATCCTCTTTGTCAAGAACACTATAAAGAATCCTGCTTTTTTTGGCTTAATTGTTGCAGGATCCGAAAGAGGGTAACTGGTGGATGCAATTTGGGAATGATAACGTGTTGGGGTACTGGCCAGCATTGCTGTTTTCTAACCTTAAAGACAGTGCTTCAATGGTGGAGTGGGGTGGGGAGGTGGTGAACGGGGAGCCAGACGGGATGCACACCACAACTCAAATGGGCAGTGGGCATTTCCCCGATGAAGGATTCGGGAAGGCTAGCTACCTGAGGAACATTCAGATAGTCGACGAGTCGAACAACCTAAGGGCTCCTGAAGATCTTGGCACTTTCACCGAGAACTCCAACTGCTATGATGTGAAGCTGGGGAATAACGACAACTGGGGGAGCTATTTCTACTTTGGAGGACCCGGGAGAAACCCGAAATGCCCATGACCAAGTTGCTCGAATTCGAAGCGTTTTCGTGGTTATTTCACTAGTATAGTTCTTGCAACTCGCAAAACCTTTTGTTTAGGTCCCAGGTTTACACTAGAGTACTAATATATGAAACCGGCATCCTTGTAAAAAGTGTCCAAGAAGGTCATAGCAGACAGAAGGGCGGAGCGGCTAAGGTTTCTCCCGGGTTGATTCTTTTATGCGTTTGTTCGGCCTGCAACTTATTGGAACTTATCTATGCCAAAAAAGCTGTAAGTTTGCACCTGCTATTCATGTTTAGTGTAACTATTTGGTTATATTCTTGATTGGTTCTGTTGAATATTGATCAGAATAAACTTTTCAAGGCAAAACCTTCACAAATTCACAGGCTTTACAGTGACTGTCTTATAATTATTGCAGCTTCATATTTTAGTATTTTGTTTTATTATGTTGAAGTTTCAACAGAGGATGTTCACAGGAGAAAAAAAGGGGATTCCTGTGATACCCACCTTTGCAAATATTCTTCTTGCTTTTTGGGTGATGAGGGGAACCTCCAGTCACTACCCGATCTAGTATTTATACACATTTAGTCTGTATATATAAGGGGCCAATACATGCAATATATATAAAGGGGATGGGGGACAGCTGCCCCCACTGCCCCCATTGTGGATCCACCCCTATACCTGAGGGTATGCACGGGTAAACTTCACCTTGTGACTCTAGTCGACAAAGGACCACCAGTCTAGATTGTCAATAGCTGACCGACTCAAATCAAGAAGGCCAATAGGCTGCTCCCGCTCGGGAGTTGAAACTGTAACCTTGTGGTTTTATTCTTTCTGCTTTTCATTTCAGAAATGACACCACTAAGCTTTTTGTTTGGAATGATTTTGGTGGAAAGATCACATGAATATAGTGTAAAAAAGATGAGAAATTTCAGCTGTATTTTCAACTCACAAGAGAAAACACAAAGTTTATTCCATAGAAAATATAAGAAGGGAACACAACTCTAGAGTGATATATTAATGATAAAAAGACACAAACATTCCAACTTTTACATTATTATAAGATTTACTTATCCTCCCCAGTAATAAGTGCTTTCAACAGCATCATATCATATCATATCATCATTGTTCTCTCCAAGCTTAGCTGATTCTGCAAAAGGAAATCAACAAAATATTCAGAGGCTAACTCAGAAGTGGATGGAATAAGGCAGATGAATGAAGTGTTTTGAGAGGGTGTTGGGCGGAGGCCCGTGAAGGGCCAAGTCCAACACCAGGTGGCTAGGGGATCGCTGGGCGAAGGCCTGAGGGATCAATTCCAGCACCACTCTGCCTCTAGCAAATAAATGTGGCAGTACAATGAAATAAAGTTGCGCCTTTGTTACGAGTAGAGTCGTCAAAGCAGACCCAACCCGTCGGGTTGGGCCCGTTTGCCCCGAGATTTGACGGGCTGGGCCAGCAATTTTCTAGCCCAGTCTGTCTAACCCGTGGTGAGAGGTGGCTTATACGGGTTGGGCCAATAATTCCAAGCCGGTTCCGAAACAGTCCGGGTTGACCCGGCCCGTTTCTTCCCCACCCCGTGGCGGGCCAGCCCGTATGGGTCGGGCTGGCTCGTTTTGACAGCTCTAGCTACGAGCTATAGCTTTTGGCGCAGTGATAAGCGTTTGATCCTAACAGAGAAGGGATGAGCGTTTGTACGTGCTGCAGTCGATAGAAGTCGAGATGGGAAACGACAGGGAGACGCCGCAGTCCTGCGGGAGCGTCTGGGCGCGGTTGGTGTTGACCTTCAGCTTCTGGGCTGCAGTCTTGAGGCACCCACAGGCAGTCTGCTTGTCTGGCTTGGATGATGCAGCACTTGCAAGGCTCTTGACTCCACCACAGCACGTCCCCGGGGGCGACGGCCCCCCACCGCCTTGCAGGTAGCTAATGCAAGGCTTCAGGGTGCTCAGCACACTGCCACAGGTAACTGCAGCCCGAGAAACCGGTGCTGCAACCAAGAGAAGAACCACACAGAGAGCCAAAGTTTGGTTTGAAGGCCTCATGATCAAGAACAAGAGTGGGGTAATGGCTAGCTTGCACTGATCACTTATTTGGGCTCAAGTTTAAGGTTTTCCCTAAAGTTAGACTGGTTTTTATAGCAGAAGGATAGAAAAGGTAGCTAGTACAAGAAAACACTAAGAACTTATAAAATTGTTTTGTTCAGTGATTGAGTGCAAGAAATCCAATCCAAGAAGAATTATGCATGTTATTGTAAGGTTATTGGGGATGGTTTTGGAGCAAGTCAAAGTTTGGTGAAATAGAAAACAGCAGGAAAGTGTTGGTTCATGTAAGTAACCAAGTTGAGATGTTACAGGTGTAACTGAAGTGATATACAATACTTAAGCCCGGACCCTTTCTCGCTACGCACCAGTCTCTTGAAGGGAACACTAACGATAGGTATTCAAACTCCCGGAAAGAGCTCATACTAGTCCAATAGATAGGAAAGCCCTTCAAAATTAAGTACAACTCTACAATATCTTGCGGAACTGATATAAGCAGAAGCCACATATTGGTAAGCATGAAATGGTTAGTCTAGAAGGATTACAGGATATTATGTTTGTATAGACAGTTCAGTTGGTACTTAAGTGATAGATTGAGAGTGAAAACACTGAATTAAGTTCTGACAGTCACGCCCATTAGTCCTCTCACTTCAGAAGTCATGACTGAGTCATCGTCATTTATCGCTTCACAATCTTATGGGGGATCCGACGGCAGAAGACTCTTGCCTTTTGAGGGTGACGGTGAGGTGTTACTTGAACCATAAGCTGGGGTGTTTGACAGGCTCCAGATATGTACCTTTCAACTCACCTTAATAAATTTAACATATAATATTTATGGTTGAGTGAAGTTACTAAAACTATGACTCTTTATCAACAGGACACATCCTTTCTAAATACTGGCATTTCTTGTTTTACCTTGGCAAGTATACTAATTTTTTTTCCCAAAAGACATGCTCTCTCCATCCCAAAAAAAATAAAAAAATTGTCTCCAGATTTATATATATATATATATATATATATATATATATATATATATATATATAATGTGGTCGGTGTGCCCAGGTGTGGTTGTGTGGTTAAATCTGAACTATTGATCTTTCTTAAATCAACGTTCAGGATTATCAAAATTAAAAAAAAAAAAAATGCGGTGGCAATTTGGTAATTTTTGCATCTAGGTCAAATTTAAGGTGCGTGTTTTATGCTTAATGTGCATTGAGTGTGTGCTTAATGTGAGTATTTGTTGAAACTTAAAGTGCATGGATTTTGTGTTTAAGGTGCGTGAGTTTTGTGCTTAATGTGAATAGTTGTTGAAATTTAATGCGTGATTTTCCTTCTTAAGGTGCGTGATTTATATGCTTGTGCGTCAGTTGCGTGAAACTTAAGGTGAGTCATTTTAAAACCTTAGGCGCGTGGTTTGTATTCTTAAGGTGCTTTGTCATGTGCTTAAAGTGCATGATTTGTGTTCTTAAGGTGCTTTGTTTGTGTGCTTAAGGGACGTAGTTTGTGTCCTTAAGGTGTGTCATTTTAATGTTTAAGCCGTCAACTGCACAACCACACGGGAAACCTATACCCGCATCTGAACCCTTTCCCCCCCCCCTCCCCCCCCACACACACACACACACACACACACACACACACACACACACACATATATATATATATATATATATATATATATATATATATATATATATATATATATAAAGGATAAAATAAGGTTGAATTTCTTTGAAATTCAGTCTAGATGAAGGGTCCATAATAGAAATTTTTTTTTTTTAAAGAAAAAAAAAAAAAAAAAAACATTATGACATTGGGATAATTTTGTGTAAGTAAACGAGCGTTATGTAAACGTATAGTAACCTGTTAAAGGTTGTACAGGTTGTAATTATATACTTCGTATATTTTTAAGAGCTCGAAGGTTTATAGATTTTGTAAATGAACAATTTGCTGTCCAAATTTTCAACAGAATAGTGTTGAAAACAGGAAGAGCAAAATAAAAGTACAACAAACCAAACAGGTTTGGTTTCATGTCACACACACCAAAACAAAACAATCACTCAGAAAATGGGAAAACTGCATTACACATGCCAGGGTTTTTGGCACACCAGAGAGGCTGAATTGCCTCTGCCCCAATTCCCCTGCCAACCATCCTATACCTCCATTCATTCAACCGATCCGTAGCCTCGGCATATCGCTTCTTCCCCGTTTTTTCATCCCGGTTTCCAGACCACAACGCCTCCGCCATTGCAGAACTTCTAGGCCAAACCCGAGCATCCAACACAGTCCCGTCCGCTTGCTCGGACCACAACGCCACTTCCCCTCCCAACACCAATTTCGCCTCCTCATCGCTAAGCCCATAAGTTATGTCATAGTTGTAAATCAACTGCCATGTCTTGAAGGGCCCACACCACGACCCGCCATTGCCCTGGTCGGTCCCCGGTGGCTGATCATACTGGCTATCGTTCCCGAGAAAACTCCCGTGCCCACAGTCCAAGTAGTAGTAATCAGCTGACGAAACAATCACCCGGTACCCTGCCTCCACGAGTCTCTTCGTGTTGTTTGGCCCGTTGTTCCACGTCTGCAAGACCACATTCTCCCGGGGAAGCGAGGAGCTCCTGACACTGATACTAGGATTCAACAAAACATCCTCCCAGTACACGACTGTTCGGTTTAAGGAGACGATGTAAGGCAAGGTGGAATTAATGAATGTTTCGAGCAGCTGGCTTAGAGTCCCATTGTTTGAAACGAAGTTTTGGATTGAGGGATCGGTGTTCCAACAATTCGAGTTGATCTCATCGGCCCCCGCGTGGAAGAACGAATCTGGGAACATGGCAATTGTGTCGTGGACAACATTCTTTACAACTTTGTATGTTGTTTGGTTCAAAGGATTGAGTTGGCCGGTTCCTGGTTCAGCTGCCAGAGGTCCAGTGGTTCCAGGAGGCACCCAGAACATGTTTGCACATGTAATTATCTCAGGATAAGCTTCTGCCCAGGATCCTGTGTGCCCTGCAACATTTCCAGACCAAAAGAATTTCACCATTGCAGTCTCATAGAAAGGTTATATGGGTTTTGCTGGAGAAACCTTAATTGTGAACTCTGGGTCATCAATTAGGTTGAATCATTAACCAAATAAAGTCATCAAATTTGGAAACTAGGAAGCAAACAACATTAATTTCACAAATCAAGAACTGGCATTATCATAGAAAAATGCAAACTTTTTACTGGATATGCAAAGAAAAATCATACTAGGAGTATGACCAAGAAAGGGATAAATTGGGGCAACCCAAACTCCGAAACCAAATTGGTCAGGCAATGACGTAGTAATTATAAGTTACAAGTTTGACTCTGGCGAGAGTGGCCTATTGACCTCAACTATAGGCGACTTAGGCTGGTTTAACTCGACTCTTAGTGAGAACAGCCTATTTGCATCAGCTATAGGCAACCTAGGAGGCTAGGACTTCCAGCATGTGCAACCTATTCGTCTCTGTTATGGACAACTTAAACTGGTTTACTTCAATTTCAACTGGAGCAATCTATTGGTCTAAGCTATGGGCAACCTAGGACTTCCAGCAAGTGTAACCTTTTGGTTCAATTATAAACAACTTAAACTGGTTTACTTCAATTTCAACTGGAGCAGTCTATTGATCTAAGCTATGGGCAACCTAGGACTTCCAGCAAGTGAAACCTTTTGGTTTCAATTATGGACAAATTTAAACTGGTTTACTTCAATTCTCACGAAGCACTCTATTGATAAAAACTATAAGACTCCCATCAGGAACAACCTATTGGCCTCTGGTTTATATCCACTCTAGCGGAAGCAACTTATTAGCCTCATATATGGACAACTAGGACTCTAACAACCTATTGGCCTAGTTATAAATAAATTAGGTTAGTTTAACTCATTTTGATACTTTTATTATGGCGACTAAAAAATTGGAGAAATTGAGGCTACCGGGCATGTCAATCTCAGGCACAACTCTAACGCCGTATTCCAGCCCAAATTCCACCACTTTCTTCACATCCTCCGGCGAGTACGTCATCTCCTCGCCGTAAGCGCCGCGGCGGGCCAGCTCCGGCTCCGACGGCAGCACCAGCGGGAAGGAATGCGAGTCGGAAATGTGCCAGTGGAGGACGTTCATCTTGTTCATACTAATCGCCCTAATCAACCTCAACAAATCCTCCACTCCATAGAAATTCCGCGAAGTATCCAGCAAAACCCCCCGGTAAGGGAAAATCGGAGCGTCGGAGATTCTCAGCCCGGCGGCGACGCGGGGCTTCTCGCCACCGCCGCCGTAAAACACCAGCTGCGAGAAAGTCTCCAGCCCGCGCATCGCGCCCCACACCGTCCGCGCCGAGATATACGCGGAGCCGCCGTCGCCGTGCGGTATGGAGAGCGTGTACGACTCGTTGACGCCGTGAGCTAACGGCGCGTCCACGTCATTGACGGTAATGTTAAGCACCTTGAGCGGCGTGTGCGACGTGAGGTTCAGAGCCGGCGCAATTATCGGGCGGTGGTTCTCCGTTTTCACGGCGTTGGTGTAACGGACGACGGCGGGTGTAAGGTACGGGTGGTCCGGCGAGACCACCGTGAAGTTTGGGCTGAGCAGAATTGCCCCCGGGCTGGGCCAATCAAAGGCTACGGGCTTGGGCCATACATTGATCGGAAGCTCAGCGGCGTCCAGTAAAAGAGGAAAGGAAAGAAAAACCAGAAAGGGAAAAAGGCGAATTCTGGTAATGAAGAGCTCTGCCATGGCCGCCGTTCCCAATCCCATTACTGAGAAATGATTGAGATTTGTACTATGATTTGAACAACTATTTATTAAGGCACGAAATTTGTCATTAAAATGGGAAAAACGACATTTGTCATTAAAATTCTCGAACTGACTTTACGCTAATTTCTTTTGATGACTCTTGACTTGTTGCACACTTGCATAGTACTCTTTGTTGTTTGTGCTTGTAAACTTGTTCTTGTATCCATCTCTCGTTATTATAAAATTTTAAAATATTGTCAGCACGAACTTAGTTTAATGGTTCAGTAGACAGTATTTGAAATAAGAAAA